TTTGTGCCTTGGGTTGTTGTCATAGCACATGAGTACAGAAAACTAGCAGCCCTTTCAACCAGTGGTACCTCCTTATTAAAAATCCATCCCTGGAATTCAAATCTAAAACACTACATTCATAGCTTCTTTCTGCAGCACACTGTTTGGCTTTTGCGTAAGTGCAGGCACCTTGTAGAATCTTGATGTATTTGAGGATGTAATTGAAAATATGAAATCTAAAGATTTTACAGTAAACATCGACTGTGTTTCTACACGCTAGTGAGCTGTGGATGTGCTTTGTACACAAGGTATAGATCATGAGCCCATTAGAAGCCATGGGTTACAATCCTTGCCTGGCACAAATCAGCATGGTGCTCTCGGCTATAGTGGAGTCTAGCTGCCTTAACTCCAGCATCAGGCTCACACCCTTGTTGTTTATGTGACTGCTGTCCTTGAAAGGAATAACATTTAGCACATTACTCCTGGTTGGAGCGTGACTCTGGAATCCTTTTGTTTTGTGGAGGTCTATAAATCACCTGCCTCACCTAAGCTGTGCCCCACAGGCCTGTTATTTATGCAAACTTCAATACCAACATGATTATCATCTAAGCACGCTGCGGTTTTAAGACACAGTGAGCTCCCAAAATGTACCCGGAAGAGGCACAGGCTGTTGACAGCTGGCCAGGAAGCTGGGAGGGGGAAAGATATCATAGCGCTGGCATTTCAGACAGCTCAGCCCTGGCGGCAAGCAGGAGCTTTGTAGAATGCATAGTGTAATGGTTCTGGGCTAACAAGTGTTTGAAGATCATCGGCCTGATCCATCTCTATTACGTCGCTCTCATTCAGCATCCGTGAAATCCAAAGGGAACATGCTACTATTGTGCTTGTAGGCTTCTTTCATCCCTCTCCTTTCTCCCCAAAAATCCACAATCTACCACTGGGCAATACCTATATCTGGACCAACCGAAAGGTCACAAAATAATGAGCAAGATTTTGAGTTCTCCAGAATTCTTATCCAGGCAGGTTGTTACATGGAACAGGAAGATGAGGAAAAGTTTCAGAAGCAGACAAATTAGGTTGGATGTTGAAGTCAACATGGAGATTGGAGCAGATGGAACAAATCTCTGCTAGGCACTGAATGAAACAGGTTACACATCTAGGGTCCAGGGGAAATGAACCAGTGACCACTCCCCATTTTGAAAGCTCAAAGGTCAACTGTTAGAGACCCAAGATGGCTGAAAAATGAAATAGAATTGGTCATGGTTACCTGCCATCCCACACTGAGCTTAAAAGTCCAGGGAGCAGCAATGCAGGGGCAAGCTCTTTGCCAAGAATCAATATGTTCACAAGGTCATAGTAAGCCATATCCTGGTTTACTGTGATGTGCAAACCAGGCTAACTACATTTGCAGAAAAACATCAGCGCATGATGAATTCCAGTGATGTGATTAGGGATAGAGGATAAATTTGGTTCATTTCCCATTCAAAGTCAAACCAACCTAATTTATACTTTCTGAAGCAATATGTGAACTGAAACACGGGCACTCTTCACTGGTATGCACTCTTTCAAATCTGCACTTCTCTGAATTTTGCAATGCAGTTCTCCAGTACATTTTGTAGAAAAAAAGCTTATAGAAAATTAACTTGTGCACAAAAATGCATTTACTGGTAGAAAGATGCATTATACTAGGGGGAAATTGCTTTACAAAAATTTGTATAATGGGCAAAATTACATACAAAAATTGAGTATATTAAGAGAATTTGACACTAAATTGCTGTTGAATTTTCATGAGAACATATTTTTTTTAAAAGCAAGCTGATGTAGAAATGTGGAGAACTGAACTTAAGATTGGAAATTCAAGAAATGGAACTAAAACTGAGTGATTCATCCATCTCTGGATATCACGAGGTTGACATGAGAAACCTCCTGGTGCACAGAAAAGTCCATCTAAAGTTGGCTTTTGTCTTGGCATTGCAGATAATTAAAAGCTGTATTTGACTAACTGAAAGCTGCCCCAGGCTGGCATTTGAGCACACTAGCATGATTCAGCTAGAACAACTAGAATGGGCCACTTTTTTCTGTGGATATGAAGGGTGGTTATATGAAGATGCCTTTATTGGCCGATTTCCCCCTTGCAGTGTGATATTTCTTCCGTCCTTCCCTATGACTTTTGATAGCAGATATTGTGAATATTCAACATCACTCTATTTTACATTCAGGATTTTGACATCCAAAGATTTTGTGCTGCAGCAGTCAATGTATGACAGCAACTGCCATCCAGCATTTTACTAAATCCTACTGCAAGTCATCTATCAGATACTGTCAATTACCTACTGCAGTATTTGACAGTGTCTGATAGATGGCTTGCTATAGAATTTAGCAAATGGTAAGACAACCCCACCATGAGCAGCCAGTTTCTAAGCTCTATGGCAAGTTCCGATTTTCCCATTTAAGGTTGTATTTTGAATTTTCTGACTTTTGCAAAATTTCAACCTTTTACATTGTCTTGTTGGAGTTTTACCTCTAGCTCACCACAGCAACTTCCATAACACCCTCTCCAACCCAACTGCTCATTGCTTTCTTTGGAGTTGCTGCTACATATCTTCCATTCTCATCCTATCACAGTGGTGGGGAACCTTTTTGGCTCAGTGGGCCAGATCTTTAGCTCCTTCCATTCCTGTGGAGCCATCTGGCGTCATGATGATTTCAGGTGACTGACAGCTGATGGGGTCCCACCTAGTGTTTTTTCCATAGAGAATGAGCTGGTGAAACATCAACCAGCAGGATTGAACCCTGCCCCCATCTAGTCACTTAAGTGAGCTAATGACATCCCGTGAGCATGACTGGGGGGAAATGGCCACTCAGGTCAACTTGGACCCCCTGGTGGGCCAAGGTCTGCCTGCAGAACAGAGTTTCCTCATCCCTGCCTTCAGGTGTTCTAAGTCTGCAATCTTAACCATGTTAAGTCCTATTTAATTCAGTGGAACCTATTTTCCAAGAAGTGAGGTTGGGATTGTAGCCCAAACTCTTGAGGGTATGATTCCATCACTCTTGAGTACCACACTGAATCTGCTAAATAAAAAAAGATCAAACCAACAGGTTTGGCCATACGTGATGTTGTTAGTTTTGAGCTATAAAATCCAATGAATTCACAAACCTTAAAAAATGGCACTACCTATATATCAACCTTCTAGTCACCATGCTTGCATGTCTTCCTGTTGGCTTCCTAGATCTTAGTGGTCAAGTTAGGTCATGTTAGACTTTGTGGGGATCTCCCTATTTAGAAGGTAATGTGTGTTGCTTCACTTGGCTGAAAATCCAGAAAGCCAACAAAGCTTCATTTTAGGGATCTGTCCACTATTCTAAATGGGGCCTGAAGTTTTGCCCTAATGGCATCACTGCCCAGAAATATCTATTTCACCACTATTAGGAGGATGCTGGAATGTATGGGCCCTTGATCTAGCCAAACAGGCTTCTTGTTAGCCCCCTCTGTTATGTTCTTCATTCATCAAAGTAGTCCTTGCACCAGTTAGCATCCATCCTTGCGATTCAAGCACCTATCTTTTCTGTGGTGGCTCCTCATTTGTGGAATTCTCTCCTCATGGAGGCTCTCCTGTGATCACTTGTGATTTCAGTTTATACCTGCGATATTTGGATGAGGCGTAGTATGAGGAAGGACCACCTGTCTTTGAAACTGTTCTTCTTTCTTCTCTTTTTCAGGACTATAAACCTCATTGCTACTCAGAGGGATATTATCATAGTTGTCAACTTTTCCCTTTTCTTGCGAGGAATCCTATTCAGAATAAGGGAATTTCCCTTAAAACAAGGAAAACATTGCCAGCTATGGATATTATTAATATGCTGATATAGCTAGATGGAGTCTGATATGTGTTGGGTATTCCCTAAGGCCTAAGCAATTTAGCCTAGGACTATTAGATCAATCAACTATGTGTCCTTCCTTCAGTTCCTGCTCTTTGACATCCTGCCTGCTATGCTTCATTGAAAAACTATCCAGAAGCAGTGGCAACCACCGAGTGCATGAAATTGCAATATGTTGGGCCAAGTCATTGCTCCAGTTACTCCAGTACTGTCGCCTTTTGTTGGCAGCAACTATCCAGAATCTCAGGCAATGTCCTATCCTAGCTCTGCTACCAAAGATCCTTTTAACTGGAGATGTTGGGGATTTAACCAAAGACCTTGCACACACAATATGTATGTGCTCTCATCCATCTAAGCAGTAGGTAGATGGTGACCAGGAATGAAGAGAAACAGAAGAAGCAAGAGGTATTGCTTCTCTAATGGGCAGTCAACAAAAGCCTCTTGGAAGGCCTCTTCCTCTCTCCTGCAAAAGTGGCCCCATTTGTTTTTGGTGAAGTAGATTTGCAAGAATATTCATAGCAGGGAAGGTCTCTTGTGCAGTGGCAGAATGCACACAGAAAATCCCAGGAATCTCCAAGTAGAGCTGGGCAGAACTCCTGAGTGAAACTCTGGGGAGCCACTGCCAATAAGTTTAGACAATACTGAACTAGATGGACCAATGGCCTGACTTGGTATAAGGTGTTAAGTTCCAAAGCAGGCTATGCATGCAAGGGCTCTGCTAGGATTGCCGTACGTCCAGAATTTCCTGGACATAGCCAGGATTTGGTCTTTGGAAGCAGTGTCCAGGTGAAAATGGCTGAAATGTCCAGGAAAATATAGCAACCCTTTTCGGGACTCTAGATTTTGGCAAATTTCCTTAAAAATATCTCAAAAACCTCTCTTTTTTGAGATTTTGCAAATAAAGTTCAACAACTTTTGTGTCTGGATTTTCACTTTTTGAAAGATAGCGCAGCACAAAATATGTGGGACAGGGAAGGAATACACCAACGTGTCTAGATAAAGGAATAGAGAAGGATGTGCAGCAAGAGTGATTCTGCTTCTCTGGGCACTTCTTGCTGGACCGAAATTTTTTTTTTTTAAAAAAACAACCCTACAAACACAAATCTACTTCAGTTGACAAGCAAACCCACACAGGCAGATTTAACCAAACACTTATTTTCCATTTTTATTCAATAATTGCCTTTAATACTAAAATGCATTAGATTCTTGAAGCAGAGAAATAAAAATCACATCAAAGTGGGGAAAACAGTTTGCATCAGGTTTTTTTAAGAAAGAAAAAAACAATGTGGCAGGTACACCATTCTTTTCAAACAGAGTTGTAATAATTTAATAAAGCTGCTTTATCATCTTCATAAAATAGACAGCATGGTGATTATTTCCCCCACCCCACCCCATTTTTCCCTGTTTACAATGATTCAATCACTGTGAAAATGTACATAACATACATATCAGCATATACAACAAGTTTTGTTCTTCATATTATCAGCAGCAGAGACACGTGAGAAAGCAGGAGAAAACTCAAGTCCCACCAAAATCTTTCCACTGCTAAGCGGGCAACACAAGTGTCTTTAGCATCGCGACGCGTCTCTTTTTCTCCTTTGCTGCTGCTGCAGGACTTCAAACATTTCTGCAACTTTAGACCTTGGCATTTGATTGGCGCCAGGTGGCATCCGTTGCTGAAAAACACAAGCTTCTGCCAGGTCAGCTCTTTGTCATAAAGATTACAAGATCCCAGCTTGAATCAGCTGAACGTCAGCTGATGCCAGTAACAAATCCATTTTCACCGATGCCACGGTGAAAATCTTGCCGGGTTCCTCCACTAAAGTGAATACAACTTCTATGCCGGGTCAACGATTATCTAAAGCTGCAAAGGCAGCTGTACCAACACGATAATCAATTTCCCCCATTGATCGACAAATGAAGTTTCCATTTGTGATTAGTTTCTCTCTTTTTTTCTCTTTCCCGCCCCGCCCCCTCTCCAAGAGTAATTTCAACATATTAATTGGATAACGTGTTCTTTACAACTTGTTTCCTATTTGGAAAAAAAAAGGAAAACATAGTTCACTTCTGCACAATGTGTGTGATCCACAAGCCATCTCCAGCTTCACAATAAAACAAGGGAAATGGCAACAGCCTCATCTTGACAATACAGTTAAATGCTCATGTTCATTCCAGCCATGAATCATATTTTACCAGCCCTTCCCACACTACTGCCTTTGTAAATTTCGTTCAAACAACAACAAAATGGATGTTCCTGGGAGGAAAAAGTATAATTTGACTTGTGAGAGGAACTGCCTGACGGCTAGTCTTGCAAGTAGGCAGAGGGTGTTTTCCCCCTTCTAAAATGAACTACCCATAAATCCACTCGTGTTATGCTATCTTTGGAGCTAGATACTCAGAGAATAAGCACTGATTAAGTTACAAGTGTGAATAAAAAGCATTGCTGCAAATCAAAATCCATATTATACCTGACCGGGGGCGGGTGGAATGCTACGCTGATTCAACAGGTAAGCAAAGCAAGTTTGACAGTGGAGAACGTTTTGCAGGGTGCTAATATGACTTTCCATGAATTGAAAATAACAGTGAAATGGTGGCAGTGAAAAATATTTGCAATCCTATCTTTGATAAAGGCAATGAGGGATGGCTCAGGCGCAACAGTGATCCCCCTATCTGGAGCTTTGCATGCTCTACAACAAGCACGGGCAGCCCTTGCATTTGTATATTGGCCGATTCATTTCAAAGGATGAATGGCCTACAAATCCTTCATTGAAATGAATGGCCCTTCAGTGAAATGAATGAAGAAGTCCTTGCTGCTGGGGAGCTTTCATAGGAAGGACTGCAGCTTAGTTGTAGAGCACATAATTCATATGCAAAGGGTTCCAGATTCAATCACAGTAATCTCCTGTCTGAAACCCCGGAAAGCTACTGGTCATCAGTGCAGGCAGTACTGACAAAGTTGGGCCCATGGCCTATGAGATGACACAACAGAGCACATGCACCCACTGAGTCATTTGCTTTTGCATGTGCCAACACTTGCACACTACAGAATTTTCTTCCAGAGCAACCTATGGACAGAGGGCATTGATTTCTTGATGTGCTTTTTCTCCCTACACACAGAACAGCTGCTCTACTTGGACAAGGATCCAACACTAGTGAAGCATGAAAGTGGCTAATGTCAGTAAGCGCAATGTTTTCGCCTATGGATCTACAAATTACAAAATGCCACAAATCTCATACAATGAGTCCTGTGAAATCAGCGCTGGTTGGAGGTGGGAACTGTGAAAGGGGTGTGTGTGTCATGCTGGGATATTAAGCAGAATCTTGTGAGCCAGGTGACCCAGGAGCCAAACTCTTACCGCTGTTGGCATTATAGCTCCAAATACCTCTTGCACTCCCATGGTCTTGACAGTTTGCTAAAGCAGGGCACTGGGCCATCCCTTCTGTTCTTTCCCAGCTGCTGGCTGGAATCCTTCTCCTGCTCTTCCAAATACATAATGCATGCAGACTGGATCTTGCTAGCACTCAGATCTTGGTGCCTATCGCAAATGTGAGGGTCTTTTTACACTAGCAGTACCTATGGATCAGGTCCTATCAAAGGGTCATGTTTCCAAGAGTTAGGAATAAGTCAACAGCAATTAAGTGGGCGTGATTTCATTAAGTTTTCTTTTTTTAAAAAAAAGGCAACTTTCAACTTATTGGGCAAAAAAAGCACACTGACAGTCTATAAATTAGATAACTGCATGAAAAAGCAGAACACCAAGGCCTATCCATTTTCTCTACCTTTTTCTAAAGAAAAGAAATTACTCCAGCTTATTTGATCTGCAGTCCGATAAAGATTGGAGGCTGTTTTTCTGTAGCTATTTTTTAATTTAAATAAATCAAAAGTGACTAATTTTTTTTTTATCAAGATAGGTTAGAGCCAGGAAGATTGTTTCTCTAGAAACCATTATTTTCTGTTGATTGGCAGAGCAAGTGTTGAAACAGCAATATATTTCCTTCCCAGTGATCTCCAAGCTCTGAGGAGTAGGTTGTAGAGCAGCAAATTCTATCAAATGTAGGGCTAATAGCAAGAGCAATAGCCCTAACCTGTGTTCCCAACCATCACTGAAAAATTATCCAGTGGGAAATAAAAATAGTAATAATAATAATAAACATTCCATTCAATTCAACTAAATTTGTCCCTCCTTTTTTTACCAAATGTTTCTTATGGGGATGGGATGGGCATCACTTCACAATTTCACACGTGCAAATTTTGTAGCCACGCAAAATAGTTTGACGTGGGTGGGAATGATTCACCAATGTTCTTGCTTCGAATGAAAGGGATATATCCATAGCGATCAGCAGCCCTCTTCTCATATTTAGGCTATGATTCCAAAACACACTCACTTAACTGAATACAATAACTTCTGAGTAGGCATGTGTAATGACTGCTCTGCCAGTCTGTCTGTTCTTTGATGCACGTTTTCTATTGCCTAGTTTCACTACTTCCATGGGGCACGAAGAAAACCGAATTAACCCCAGCATTCAAAAGAGCATCCCGTGAGGATGTGCAAACACACATTCACACTAGCACTCAAATGTACCTACATTTTTGCACTCAGTTTGATAAACTTTGATAAACAGAGTAAGTCACACATCTTATCTGCTTCTGGATGGGTGCCCCCCCACCCCTACACCCCACCCCATGCACCTGGCTCATGATGAATGGATGAATCAATTCTGAAAAGTTTGGAAAATCCAAGCCAATCTGCTAAACACACTGTAATGTGCTGTGAAGAGTACCCATCCAGACATGCTGTGCCTCTACCGGATCGACTACACTAACTTCCTCCAACCTCCTTCTGATCAGTTTCTGCTAAGGGCAGATAATTATACCATGTCTTTGCCACAGGCATGATTAGATCAATCAGTTACTGCCAAAGAAGGCACAAAACTTCATTTTCTGAAGTTTCTCCGTGTGTCCCTGGGGGACTCTTTGCTCAGTGCTTCCCTGATTCCAATCAAGAGGCACACCCAGAGGAGGAGTTTTTACTAATGCAAATTAACATGGGTGGCATCCCTCTCCTCCCCTTTTACACACACTAAAAAGTTTCTTGGGGGGGCCTAAGAGTAAAAGTGCAAGCCCTATTTAGTTCCCAAGGAAGGAGGGAAGAGGAGTACTCTACGCTGTACGGTATTTCAGAATTTTAGGGGGTGGGGAAATGGAATAGCCATGAACAAGGACCACTGTTTCTGGAGCCATCACAAATGTCCCAAATGAAATTGCAGTTTAGGATTGCAATAAAACAATTTGGACTTCGTCCACCTGAAGTATGGAGCACCTCAAAAAACTGGGTGGTCTGCCGAGCTGTGCCCATGTGATTGTGATTTTGAAACAGTGGACAATGTAGTTAAGCAAATACTAACTTGAATATATATAATGACAAGGCCATTATTCATGTAAGCATTCCATGCTGCTACATATAAATGGGCGTAAACATTTGCTGGCCTGTTCTCATGAGGTGTTAGGATGTCAACAGCACAGTTGCCTAGACCAGCCAGATGGAAAATGGGATGATGCATGTGGTAAGTACATTTAAGCAAGTCAGGAATGTGCTTGAAATGTTTACACGAGTAATGATTTAACCTGTGGCCTACAACATACATAAATTAGGCCTTTAAAGCATCCTATTCTTCTGGTTCCTAGATAGGTAAAATAAAAATGGGAGATTTGCAGCAGGAAACCAGCATGTCGTTTTGGAGAAATAATGTCATATTCTTCCTTGGAAATGCAAGGAAAAGGAAAAGGGTGGGAGGGGGGAGAAATTGATCTCATAAAAATTTCAAGACAGTGCATCTAACAACTGCAAATGAGATGCTAGATAACCCCTAAAAGACCTGGGGAAGAAACACTGCACAGTGGTGGAGATAGTATGTGGTACAATCATCTGGCAAAATGACAAAGAGCTATGACAAGATTGGCTCTAAATTTTGCAGTTTCTCCAGGTCTTAAGATTGTTTGTTTGTTTGAAGAAAAGGAACGAAAAAAAGAAAACGAACTTGAAAGCATTTCCCATCACTAGACATACAGGAATTTGCAATATCAAATACGATAATAGTACAGAGAAGCATGTGGCAGCAAAAGGTTTCCAAAGGCAGGGGTGTCCACAGCAAAAGAGCAACATCTTAAAAAATACAAATTAGGCTCTGGGTGTGGGATGAGACAGAAAATTCACCGGCCACAGTCCATAACTCCATGGGGTGCTAATGTACATTTGGAGATGTTGAGTATAGAGCCCCTTCCAGCATGGAACACATTGAAGTGGCCCCATCTTGCACATCAGAGCTCCCACAAGTGCACCAAAACTGCCGATCAGGGCAACCCAATCTCCAGTTTGCCATGGCAAACAAGCGCCCCATTGCTGAAGTTTGGAGGCATGACAAGGGGAGTACTAAGGGGAAGAGCCATCTCAGTGGTTCAGCATCTCCAGATAGGGTTAGGAAAGACTCCTGGTCTGAAACCCTGGAGAACCACTGCCAATCAGAATAGAAGACAATACTAAACTAGATGGACCAATGGTCTGACTCAGTAGAAGGCAGCTAATTATGTTCCTAGAAATTACTTGAAACTGAGGTGTGTGGTGTAGTTTTTCCTTTAGTGATTTTTGTTTCGTTGGGTTTTTTTTAGATCCAATTCTTCATACAGAATGCCATTTCATAATAAGAGTTTTTGAGCTACAAAAATATATAAATTGAAAATACTTCATAGATAATACTTCCAACCACTGAAATGCCACCACTTCTACCATAGTGGGGAGAAGCTGAAGAATGGTGCTACTTTTACTTAGACCAACACCCCTGCTGCCTGTTGAACCATGTGGGATTGTCACATTAATGATAGCTTCATTTTTTTTTAATAAACAATACATTTAGGGAAAGCTTTTAAATACAGCGAATTTGTGAACCATCAATAAGCCATTAGAAACAATACACACATCCAGTACTGTTGTTTCCTTTCCTTTACAGTGCAACTTAGAGTACTATGTCCTTTAGCCTCTTCACACCAGGTGAGTCCTTCTCTCTACATTCTTGCAGAAGAGGGTTAATCTCATGCATGATATTTTCACTGTCTGCACCCCTCGGCTCCGCCTCAATGGGCCGAGAAGGGCCATTGTTTACAAACGGCTCCAGGTCGCGACTTCCTGGGCAGTGCATTACGTTGTAGGACACTGATGGTTTGCCAGACAAGGGGCTCTTCAGGTGGATAGGCGACATGATGGGGCTGACAGCTTCACAACCATTCCCTGCCTCCCGGACGGCACCGTTTACCTTCGGGCTACAGATGGGCGGATCCACTGTTCTTTTACCTTTCGAGTTGACTGGGCCCCGCTCCTCGGAGACAGGTTCACTCCCCTCTTTGCCAAATGTTGCAAAAGTTCTCTTTGTGCTACAGTCTTCGTAAAGCTCTGTATCCACAGTGGTAGCTTCTATGGAGAGGGACACGACATTCCTTCCATGCTCAGGGGATTTTGCTCGGCTGGGCACAGGGTTCCGGGGCATCCAGCATCGGTCAGAATGGCCAAGGATCCGGCACTCTTCCCGGCAATGAAATCCCTCACTCTGATCTGTAGAGAGAAAGACAAAGAAGGGCAGGTGATCTATCATGAGCTGCTACACCCAATCCGAAATGTTCACTTGCTGAGGCTTAGCTCCAAGACCTATTGATAAACGACACTACAAGGAAGAATGCAGAGAAGAAACTTGTTCTCAAAATTGCCAGCTTGGAAGATTTATTGCATTTCATCACATTTCAGAAGGCAGGTTCCTTCTTCTGGGGAACAATCTACAAATAATTAAAAATATAAAAGCCAACTATTGGTGCAGAGGCGCAATCATACACAATGCTATTAAAAACAATTGAACCATTTGGAATATATGTAGTATGTAAGAGAGAGAGAAATTATTATTATCATTATTACTTCTTCCCAATACCCTTACCAGGTTGAGTTCACTACAAAATTATATATAGTTATAAAACAAACAAAACAACTATAAAACAAAAGAAGTGTAAGTACAATTACAAACTGTTCCATATATAAAAACACTTAAAAACAGGGCCAGTACAGATGCAGACTGGGTTATAAAAAAAATCTAGCCATCATTTAAGACCATTATATCATCAGTAGTATGAGTGGTTGGGACAATGTACAGTACAGTACAGTACAGTACATCATATCATATCACATCATATCAAATCAAATCAAAAACACACTTCCATCTAGTCACCAGACCCAGAAACTGCTTAGTTTCAGCAAGATTGTCTTATGTGCCTTCAGACAATGCCCTGGGAACAGGCGTATCTACACCACAGCTCTCTAATGGCTCGAGAGTCATGCTCTCTGCACAGAGAATCCTGGGAACTTGATTTCTTATTAGTAGTAATTGGTTGAATATGACCGCTTGGTGCAGACAACTAAGTATACCTGAATACTTTTGGTCAGATACACATGCCTCTGGTGTGGTTTTATATTCCTACTTCAGCCAGCGGTTTTTTTAAAAAAGAAAACCAATTAGTGTTTGAGGGCATAACTACACCACAGATAAAGTAGTTCAGCAATCATTTCTTCTCCCAGGGAAATTGTTGGAATTGTGATTATGTAAGCCACAGACAGGCAACTTCAGCCCTATGGGCTGAATGTGGCCCCCAAGTGCTCTTTATGAGGCCCTTAGGACTCTCTCCAGAACTGATCCACACATTTTTCAAGGGCTCCTGCCTGGAGGAATGTCTTGTGTCAGTGCCTCCTGCTTACCTGATTGCAAATGGTGGGGTGTATAAGAATCTCTGACTTTTGCATGGCTAGAATACAGTCTTCTTGCCATACAAAGGGAAGCGTTGTGCCCGTTGATCTTTTGCCTTTGGCCCCAACTGCCACTGACATGTGGCCCCCGGGAAGTTGCACGTGCAGGAATGCAGCCCTTGAAAAAGGCTCCCCCACCCCTACTATAAGGCATGTAGAAAAGGAATTACCTGCAAGGACACTAGGGAATCCATTAACAGCTAAATTGGCATAAAACCTACTACCTAGGTTTGTAGGGTAGATTTCCAGGAGAACTGCGATTCTGCCTATTTTTAATCCCATATACACACCTCTCGTTTCTATAACAAGTAGTAGACATTGGCAAAGTGACATTTTAAAGGGCTGTTTTTATCGCAGTGGGTTTCTCTCCCCTGCCCCCACTTCTATTATTATTTTAACAGGTTGAAGTTCAGCCTCCAACAGGCTAGGTGTCGTTCAGAATTTCTGCTGCTGCTGTCAGAACAAAAAGCTGAAGGGAAACACATTACGATGGGAAATAAATTAAACCACGTTCAGCCTGCGTGGCTGGCTGCGTAGGAGTCAGCATTTTCTTCTTCCTATTGCCAGCGCTAAAAGGCATTGTGCTTTAAACCTTGCTCGACATGAGATATCCAAGTATAAACTCCACACCAGGCAATGAATTTTGCTGGCTCCTCTTTTTATACTTTAGTTGATTTGTACTTGATTTCCAACAGAACTGCAGTGGTGTTTGTAGGCACCTACCAGTCTGAGAGGGGCTATAAACAAGAATTCTGCTCAGATTCACCATGTAGCCAGATATTTACTCATGCCAGGTGATGTGCCACAGTTACTTAGGGGCGACTAAATGATGCTTGTTTTACTACTTGGCCACAGTATGAGGATTAACAACAGAAAAACAAAAGTTAACTTTGTGAGCTCTTATGATTGCTAAAGGACTTATACAGTACTTTGAGCCTGGAAGGATAAACATTCACTGTCCATGCATTGGTCTGAGGACCTCAGGGCCCTGGCGGCATTTGAACATATTGCATATAGATATCAATCTCACATGGAAACCTATTTGGCCATCTGGAGACTTTATATTAACTTATCTATTTAATTTAAGTTGTGTGTACTGACAGTTATTGTTTCCATAATGTGAACTGATACTGTATATTATTAGTAGTAGTGGTAGCTGTATCTATATTTTATTTATATTAATTCTTTTTTCCCTTTCCCCCTTTCTTTTACTTTTTAAATTTGCAAATAAAAAAATGATTCAGGGTTTTTTTTTCTAACACAAAGGAACAGGGCAAAAGAGGGTATGAATGTCTAATTATCCATCAGCCCAAATGCCCCCTGAAAGCTAGTTGTTATATTTAACATGCTCTATACTAGGAAGGACAGCAAAGGGTACATTGGAAGTGATATCACTCCACATGACAAAGCAGCTATAGACCCCCCTCCCCCCCAAAAGCCATAGGAAGTACCGTATTTTTTGCTCTATAAGACGCACCAGACTATAAGACGCACCTAGTTTTTGGAGGAGGAAAACAAGAAAAAAATATTCGCAGCGAAAGCAGCGATCCCTCTCACTGTTCTGACTTCTGGGATAGCTTTATGGTAATTTAGTACTGTGGATGTATTGTCCCCCCACCCCTCCTGGACCAAAATGCCGTGTTCTGAACAATAAAGCAACAACCATAACCCAAACATGGATCTTGAATTCACATAGTCTCACAATGTTTTAGTGAACATACAAGAGAACATTAAATAGTTCATGCATGGCACTTATCAAAGAGATCCAATCACATTTTTTTAAAGGACTTACATGTCCCTAGAGGGTGAATGCCTGATAAAACTTCATGAACATAGGTTAAAGGTGAACATCACAGCTCTATAAGCCTATTGAGTTTCCTGACCCTCTGAATAATCTATTATGCATTTCATTTTCTGCTAATGAAGTGCTAATAATATCTCTATCAAACTCTTGGAGATTTCCATCCTAGATGCAACCAAAAGGAGCACCAACAATTGTCTATATGTATTATCCTGTTGTTACTTGGTATTAACAATAAAGAGCACATAAATAAAGGAGGCATCCAAGGGAGGAAATGTTGTAGTAAAGGGTGACTTCAATTACCCTCACATTGACTGGGTAAATGCATGCGTCAGTCACAAAAAGGGGCGAAATTATCAAGCTACCCTAAATGGCTAGCCAGTCATAGAATTGGTAAAAGGAGGGGGACCCTGAACTTCATTACACGTATCAGGGTTAGCCTCTTGCCACCACAAGATGCAGTAACAGCAACCAAGTTGGATAGCTTGAAAAAGGGGTTTAAAATAAATTCATAGAGGATAAGGCTAACGACAGCTAATGGCCAGGATGGCCTTTTACAACCTCTAGTACTGGGGTAGGCAATCTAAGGTCCGTGGGCTGGATGCGGCCCAATTGCCTTCTCAATCCAGCCCGCAGACGGTCTGGGAATCAGCGTGTTTTTACATGAGTAGAATGTGTCCTTTTATTTAAAATGTATCTCTGAGTTATTTGTGGGGCATAGGAATTCGTTCATTCCCCCCCCAAAAAAAAAATAGTCCAGCCCACCACAAGGTCTGAGGGATGGTGGACCGGCCCATGGCTGAAAAAGGTTGCTGACCCCTGCTAGTATCAGAGGCAGGCATGGCTGTGAATACCAACTGCTGGAGAACATGAGTGGCAAGAGCACTGTTGTATTCTTGTTCTGCTTGTGGGCTTCCCATAGACATCTGGGTGGTCACTTTGAATGCCATGATGAAGCAAGGCTCTTTGTACATACTTACAACCTGGACCTACCTCAGTAATAAAGCATGAGCCCAATCCCTAGTATCTCCAGTGAAAATGATCTTGGGTAGCACAGAACAGGCGAAACCCTTGTCTGAGCATCTGGAAAGCTACTGTCTCTGGGGGAACAATACTGTATTGACAGTCTGACTTGGTATACAGGCAACTTCCAACTGAAGTGGGAGTTACGTACCAAGGCACCACACATTTAAGTGAAATTGCATAAATTTGAAACACCATTGACAAAGCCTGCAAACATTTTCAGGTCACTTCCAGGTTCAGCACGATGCGCTTGTGCGCAGACATGCACCTATTAGATGTGCCTAAAACAGTCACAGCCTGTACGCTCCTTCCTATGTTCCTAACATGATTGAGACAGAACCCATTTCATTTGACCATACCAATTCTTGACTAAAATATTCTTCTTTGGAATTCAGTACTATCTTTTAGCAAACACTCTCACCTTTAATTAGCCACCTTCCAGCTCCATCTCACTTTCCTTATTTTCCATAACATTAGCCAAAGCCACAACTAAATCACACCTTCAGAGTTTGATGTACTGAACCTCACTCGCACCTTGCAAACACACAGACCTTGGTATCCACTCAGCCACAGTGGTGGATCCCAACTGCCTGAGGAGATAGTTCATTTGGGTGCTTTGTTCATCTGTGTATGTAACTTCTGCTTTTCAGCTCCATTTGTATTTCCACCACATTCTAGCACAAAAAGGGGGCTAATAAAAATTCTTGGCACATAACACAATGCAGCAAAAAAAGAGAAAAGGGGGAGAGAGAAAGAGCAGCTTTAGCACTTACAGGGAATCGGCTTGTAGAAAAGAAAACCTTAAGGAACTTGCGGAAGGCAGGGAAACAAAAGAGGAAGAAACCAAGTGGATGGAATCTTGCGTCTTTAGGGCTCCTCTCTCCTTCACAGCAGCCACCACATCGTTCAAGTGGCAGCAGCAAGTGACTGTGGTCTGGGCGCTGCTAACCCTTCTCATTCTCAGCAAATGAAGCTGCCAACATGCAAACACACTGCTTAGAAGTGTTTAAATACTGGTGCCCAGTAAAATGTTGGCTTTGCTGTTTTCAGTTCTTGAGCAAAAACAAAGGATTAAATGTCTCTATCTTCCTGTTCATCCCCAAATGAACAGCTGAAGTCAAGACCATGATATTCTAGTATTTTGCACAAGCGTGGGATTGGGTATTGCATGCCTCAATCAGCATCCTGGTGATCATTATGTATCAATGCATGCATCTAGTACTTATGACTGTGAAGACCTGTGTGTATTCTAGCATTCAGCATAAGCATGGGACTTGGCACTGTATGCAGAAATCTGCATACAGTGGTGCCTCGCAAGACGAAATTAATCCGTTCCGCGAGTATCTTCGTCTAGCGGTTTCTTCGTCTTGCGAAGCAACCCTATTAGCGGCTTAGCGGATTAGCGCTATTAGCAGTTTAGGGGCTATTAAAGGCTTAGTGGCTTAGCTGCTAAAAGGCTATTAAAGGCTTAGCGGCTTAGAAAAAGGGGGGGGAGCGAAAAAAAATGTCAAGACTCGCAATACATTTTCGTCTTGCGAAGCAAGCCCATAGGGAAATTCGTCCTGCGAAGCGCATTGAAAAACGGAAAACCCTTTCGTCTAGCGGGTTTTCCATCTTGCGAGGCATTCGTCTTGCGGGGCACCACTGTACTGATAAACTTTATTTGTTTGCTTTAAAGAAAGCTCCCAGTCCAACTGCAAATGTGGGGGTTAATAATAAAAGTTAAGGGGTACATAGATGGTTTCTACTGGTTAGGAAGTTGTTCTGTGATACCCCTCACAATAATTAGGAAATTGATGGTTAATGCTCCATTCAGGCTTCTTTGTATCTATGCAGGAGACAGAATTCTTCTCCTCTTCCCTGATGTTTTGTTTATTTTTTGTTGGAAGCTGCCCAGAGTGGCTGGGGTAACTCAGTCAGATGGGTGAAGTATAATATATTATTAGTATTAGTATTAGTATTAGTATTAGTATTAGTATTATTATTATTATTAGCAGCAGCATCCCTCAATAATATTCCCCCTCAATGCAGAATAGGCAGGGCAGCAGATCTAAAGAGTGGCAGCAACAGAGCTATTAGCTATCTCCAGTTGTCCCCAAAAGGAGACAAAAGGCTTGGGACATGAAGGAATACTACCACATGCCCATGCTTTCAGTCACACAAGAGAGAGCAACTAAATACAGGCAACTCTCAACTTACACAAAGGTTACGTCCTGGGGATAGAGCCTAAAGGCAAAATCACATTTAGTCAAAATGCACTGGGTTCGATGGTGGCTGGGATTGCCAAAAGTCTTTTGCCCCAGACAGTTTCCCCCTTTCCTCCCCCATTTTATTATATTATTTGCCAAGTGCATAAAGCTGAATATATACAAGTTAATTGTCCGTAAGTTTTGAGTTATCTGTACTCCATTGATGTTGCTAAGCTGCCATTAGGCATCCTTCAACCTCTTTCTGTTTTTGCAGCCCAGGTTTGGAATTGCCTCAAAGTGACAGATCCTAGGCTTAAAAAATGTGTGAGAGCAGCAGACTCACTGGTTTAAGTCCAGAGCTCTGTGCTGAGGACGGCAGAAGGTAGGTGACTGCCTACTGGTGGGCCGCTGATTAGTTTACGCTGGACCACGTAGTTCTGGAATTTGCACAAAAATAAATAAATGCTGTACTAGGTGGTACTTGGTCTGATCCTGCAGAGTTCAGAATACACCACAGCAACTGCACTGTTTGAGATTGGAGGGTGTGCACTGCATAACACCTTAGTTTTCATGTGTCAATGAATATGCATGTGCATCAAAGATGAGACAAGTCCACTCTCCACTCCAAGGTTTAGAGACCCTGGAGAAGTGGCTGAACTGCAAAGAATGGCAATGCTCGCAACTCACGCTGACATTTTGACAAGACAGCCTGAAAAGTAAAAAATGGAGACTGAATTACCAGGGACAGGGATTAAGAAATGGGGGTTGTCCTTGGAAAGTGATGGCAGTTGCAGCATCTGTAACACTAGTCCTAACCTTTTTGCAAAATCAGCATGCCAACACACACAACAATAGTGGGAAGCAGCTTGATTTCTGCCTGTATAACAGACGTACCACTGCTGAATACAACCATATAGGCATGCTCTCCTAGCAACTGTGAGGCTGTCAATCTCTCCCTGAGCTCCAGTTAGACATATGCAAGTTCTGGTACTCATCCTCTTCCCCCTTGATGGCTCACCCAGAGCCCTTGCAGAATTGTCAAATGCAACATGTGAACAACCCTATGAAGTAAGCCGAGAGCTTAAGAAACAGCAAATTTTACTCAATATATTATTGTACATAATCAAAATGCAATTTTTAAATGCAAAACCTTTCAGCATATTACTAAAATTAAACCAATTTGTATTCCTCGTCCACATTACAGGAGGCAAACTATGTCCTTCTCTGTCTTCTAACAAAAACATCACCTTATTGCGTTGAAAGATTTTGTATTTTATATCCTGCATTTTTAAGCAGTCTATATATAATAATATATTGAGAAACATTTGCTGTTGCATGGGGTGCTGTTGTTCTTATGGTCATGACTTATAGACTGTATGTCTGCATAAATTCACACACACACACACACACCACACAGCCTTTAGATTCTCTCACCACAAAATTCGTGGCTACAGGTCTGGCAGTTGTACATGACAACACTGGGAATGCATATTTTAAAACATGGTCTGGAATAGTGGCATAGGTGTGTGGTTGAGTTTTTTTAAAAAATAATAATAATATTTTTATTAAAAGTTTTTAGTGAGAGAGTAATATGAAAGAGGAAGAAAAAACAAAACAAATTATGATACAATAGACCATATGGGTATTTAAGTAATACAAGTATTCCAATAATTGCAAAATTATTAACAAAGCATTATATTTTTCAAAAATGGCATGGGTGTCATGGGTGTCTGTGTGTGTATTAGTAGGAAAGGGGACACCCTTCGGCACTATACACTTAAAGCAGTATTATGCCACTTTAAACAGCCTTGGCTTCCCCAAAAGAATAATGGGAAATGTGGTTTGTTAAGGGTGCTGAGAGGAGACCCCTATTCCCCATACAGAGCTACAGTTCCCAGAATGGTTTAACAACCAATCCTTCTTCCCATGGTCAAAGTTTAAAGCAATTCCCATCCTGTATGAAAAGACCTCAGTTCAGCCAACTGTGGCAGAAATATCATTCTCTCTGAGAAGTACAGCTAACAACCCCGTGAGCCCGGTTTTTCCAACCACCTCTGTTCCAACCTCAAGGGACTGTCACACAAAGCAGCTAATAATGATCCCCAACCACAGACATGTTGTGTCTGTATTGATTCGAGAAGGTCTGAGCCGTGAGGCTTTCTGAGATGTGGGCTGGCTGCAGAGCTGCCAAATTGCTTCACAGAAGTCTTAGGTAAAAAGGAGTAGCGAGGAACTCTGGCACTTCCCCCGCCGCTCACCTAAAGACAGAACGAAGCCCATATCGTTAAAATAAAGAAGCCGGAAGGGGCAGGAAGGCACAGAGGGAGGCAGAAGGCCCAGCTCAGAGGTGCCCCAGAGATGAAATGGTGGTTATTTTCTGGGAAGATGTTGGAGCATTGCTGATAGGAAGCAGAAAACAAATAGGACCTTGCAGGAGCAAAAAAAAATCATGCCGGAATTGCCCGCCGTTAGGCCCACAGTGTGTGCTAAGCTCGGCTGCCTGACGACTGCGGCTCCCCCTCGGTTTCACTGCATTTACAGAAGTCTATTACAGAAACACATTACTAGCTCCCTGGGTAAGCTGTGGAATGGGGTGGGGGGAGTGAACAAGCCTCCTCCGACAACTGAACACAACACCAGGCCAGGCTTTAGGTTTTTTTAAAGCCTCTTATTCACCCAAACAGATATGGGTTTAAACTGGAGCCAAGACTGAAAACGCAGAGAACTAGGTTGCTGCACTTTTCCTGGATCATGTTAACAGAGAAATGTGAGGTGGGTTCAATAAGGAGAAGATGCAAGTACAGGGTGCTCTTTTAAAAGCAAAAAAAACCAACTAGCTGTCTATTGCATTTTCATCACCAAAGAGCCTGATCCTATGTGCATTTGCTTAGAAGTAAGCAAGTGGGAAGGGACGCGGGTGGCGCTGTGAGTTAAACCACAGAGCCTAGGACTTGCCGATCAGAAGGTCGGCGGTTCGAATCCCCGTGACGGGGTGAGCTCCCGTTGCTCGGTCCCTGCTCCTGCCAACCTAGCAGTTCGAAAGCACGTCAAAGTGCAAGGAGATAAATAGGTACTGCTCCGGCGCGTAGGTAAACGGTGTTTCCGTGCGCTGCTCTGGTTCGCCAGAAGCAGCTTAGTCATGCTGGCCACATGACCCGGAAGCTGTAAGCCGGCTCCCTCGGTCAATAAAGTGAGATGAGCGCCGCAACCCCAGAGTCGGTCACGACTGGACCTAATGGTCAGGGGTCCCTTTACCTTTACCTTTTAAGCAAGTGGGACATGCTCCCAAACGGGACTTGAATAGGACTTGCTTCCAAGAAAATGTGCACAGGGTTCCTTTCTTAAGAGTGGCATAGGTAGCTCTCCCCACCCCCTTTTATCTGCTCCTCAGATTTGTGAGGTAGGCTGCTACTGAGCAGATGAAGCTACAGTGGTACCTCGGTTACATACACTTCAGGTTACATACGCTTCAGGTTACAGACTCCTCTAACCCAGAAATAGTACCTCAGGTTAAGAACTTTGCTTCAGGATGAGAACAGAAATCGTGCTCCGGCGGCCCGGCAGCAACGGGAGGCCCCATTAGCTAAACTGGTACCTCAGGTTAAGAACAGTTTCAGGTTAAGAACGGACCTCTGGAACGAATTAAGTACTTAACCCGAGGTACCACTGTAGTTTAATAAGATCAGGAAAACTTGACTGTGACTCTAATATCTAAGAGGGTTTTCACTTTCAGGGGGCTTCAAGAAATATGCTGCTCAAAAACTGGTTTCAAAGAACAGCTTGAAATAGGGAGAACCTGAAATTACAGTTTGGGGGCAGGGAGATGTTATGCAAATGATTTCATATCAGCGCAGCAAAATGCAAGCAAACTGCAACCGCTAGAAACAGTGGGTGTTAAGGCTGCGAGAAGATGTAGACACCATACATTGGAAGTACATGATTCCCAACAAAGAATCCTGGGAGCTATAGTTTGTTAAGGGCCTTTGGGGACTGTAGCTCTGTGTGGAATAAACAATGATTCCATGATTATCTGGGGGGAAGTCATGTTCCTTAGATGCACCACTTCCATTTCCAAAATGTCAGCTTTCCCTGCCAGTATCTTTGTATGGAAAAGGAGGGTTAGGACGGCCAAAACATTCTCATTTGTCACAAATAAGCCCATATTAGATTTGATCCGACCTGTTGGATTCAGGTTGAATCAAAACCGATTGCCTCACATAAAATTATTCGTTTTGCAAAAGTAAATTGTTGCTATTTCCAGCCCTGTTCTAAAGTTCGCCTTCTCACGATCACTACTGTTACCAGGAGAACAATGAGGACTGGAGGCGTTCCTCCCACCTATGCAAGCTACACTACTACAATCCAGAAGACTCTCCCCAGTTTCTCCAAAACTTACAAGAAGAGGCAGTTTCAGTGGCTCATGGGGGGATTAGACCCTTGGTAGTTCCCACTGATCCTTACAATCAAGGCCATATCGCTGCCGTGTCGGAGAGCCACTGGGCAGCCTTTAGTAAAGACTCTCCTAACTACTGCAGCTGCTGATTTTGGATGGAAAGGGGAAGAACAGTAGAGAGGGAAGGACAGCTCTGGTAGAACCCATTCTGCCCAAAGTTTAGGAAGCCTGGCCTGATTCACAAGTGGGCTCGGGGTAGAGGGGAAATGCATAAAATTAACATTCCAAGCCTTCTCCAACACCATTCTAAAAACTGGCACCATCACTTGTTTTTAGAGCATTGAGACCAATATGGCCTTCCTCTCCGAATTCAGCCTAAATGTACCTTACCTTTCTACGGTCACACTTAGAAGAAAACAGTTCTGAGTAGGCATGGTTAGAACTGCACTATGGCAATGTAAGTAAATAAATAAATATGCCTGCCATACAAAATTGAAAATGCAGTAGGAATCACTAGCTCGACTTATGCATTCTGCTTGAAGGACACACCGCTGTGAATTCTCATTTTATATTACATCCGACTCTGCTCTGGAATAGAAAGGGAGAACAAAAGTGCCCAGTGCATGCAATTAAAATATGCATCAGCTGGCATTTGGGTGCTATATGACCACATATACTTCCATATATTTCAAATCCAAATTCACTGTAGCCGAGCACACAACAAGATTGAAAGACTGACCTGCTCAGCTCTCCTAAGCAACTGAATTATTGGTGATGGAATCTCCAGCAGCAGACACAGAGGCAAAGTTGAAATGTACTGAGGTACAAGTGCTTAGGGATTTAATATCACTGATAAATGCTCTGATGGCATGTATGGTTATGCAGCCTGGGCAATCACAATAGACCCCAGAGCTTCTATTTTGTGGAGAGAAGCACAATTCATTCCAATCTATGTCAGAGGGATTTTGAAGAGGCATATAAGTAGAAGCCATTTGGACTATTTCATACTCAGAGGGAACTGAAGCAGCTGGGTCTCTTAAAAATGGAAGAGAGAGAGAGCATGCAGAGAAGGCACAGGTGTCTGCCTACTTTTGAGCATCATTGAAGAAAACCAATACAGACAAAACTGTTTCTTACTAAAAGTTTTGCTTAAGACAAAACAGGCTTCAAGGGGAATTCTGGATGTCATGTGCTTACATTCAAGATAGTTGGCACGCTAACGATACAAGTATTTATGCAGGAGTCGCCAAGTGTTTTGAGCAAGTGGGCACATTTGAAATGATGAGAAAATGCTGCAGGTGCCACAAAATGGCTGCCATGGGGTGATAGGAGTGTCGTAACACAAAATGGCATCCACATCTGAAAGATCAGGCTAAGAGTCAGGACCAAAAAATGGTGCAAGCGAGCCTTCCCCCACCCCTAGTAAAACAGCTGTGACTGCACTCCCAAATTACCACCAGAATTATTCTACTTTTCACCACTGCCCTCCTGGAAATGGTCAAAGAAAGCAACAATACTGCTGTAACTATTCAGTGACCATAAGCACCAACCCCTCTCCAAGTTCTGAAATTTCATCAGCCATGGTTCACCTGATTGCAAACTCATTTCAGCAGCCATAAGGAATTTGCCTTGTTATGAGGTCAGACTGCTTGTTCATCTGGCCTGCTACTATTTACCCTGGCACAGTTCAATGTAATGCTAAAATAAACACTGGTGCACAAGTGTGCAGGCTGCCGGAGAAGAGATTGCCACTGCTTTGCTCCTCCTCTGCTCCTGCTGCTCCTGTTAGAAGATTCAAGATAGATAAAAGAAAGTACTTCTTCATGAACACAATTAAACAGTACAACTTGTTCCCATAGAAGGCAGTGATGGCAGCCTACTTGGATGGCTTTAAAAAAAGCACTGGGCAAATTCATGGAGGGGAGGGCTTTTGAGAGCTACTGGACGTGTTGGCTGTGTTCTGCCTCCCCAGCTGGAGGCAGGGATGCTTCTGAATGTCAATGGCTAGAAACCACAGGAGCTGAGATTTCCCACAGGCATCTGGTTGGCCACTATGAGAACAGGATGCTGGACTAGTTAGGCCATTTGGCACGATACAGCAAACTTTTCTTACATTCTTACATTCACTGCTTTGCAGTGAGCAATGGTTTGCTTTAGCATCTCATCCAAATCCAGGCTTATGGTTTGTTTCCTTCAGCCTGTGTTTAGATGACATGCTAAGCCAAATCATGGCTTAACACACAGCAGCAGCAGAGGACCAAAGCAGAAATTATCTTCTTCCCAGGAGCCTGCACACAATCACAGAAAGCCATGGTTTGGCATAGTGTTATGTGTGAAATGAGTCTCTGAGTGACTGCGGCTCTCCATGTCCAAGAAAGATGTTTATTGCCTGATTCATGTTCCTTGTAACTGGAAATACTAGGGATTGAATCTTGGGCTCTCTACATATAAGGCATGTAGAATCTACCATCAAGAATTCCACTTAAAAAGAAATAGATTCTCAAGGCACTGGAATACTGGATAAAATTATAGAGCAAGATTATTGCTGACTCCAGTTATAAAGGCTGCTACTGATGTTTCAGGTGTCTATTGTCTGGGGATGGGGGGGGGACGGGACAGGGCTCAGACTTAAGCGGTGTTAATATATAGTTTTGGGTTGATATATGGGTCTATATATATGGATCAATATATAGATTTGAATAAGATGTACTGGTTCTGCAGCTATTTGGATTAATATTACTGTCTTCATTTGTATTGTCAGGACTCATTACAGGGATGGGGAACTTGTGGCCCCTCCAGAGATTGCTGGAGATTGTAGCTCTCACCATCCTTAACCATTTTACATGTTGCTAGGGCTGAGAAAAGTTAATCTGCATGGACATATGTTTCCTGTCCCTTTCTTAATATGAATTATTAGCAGCTTGTTTCATCTTAGAGTATATTTAGCAACATAAAATGTCTGGCCTATTAATATTTGCACGACTATTTAAATTGGCTGATATTTCATAACTGCTTGCGAATTGTCTTGAAATATTGCATCATCATCATCATCATTATTAGCATTTCTATAGCGTACCCTTCATCCAAAGATCACAGGGCAGTTTACAATATTAAAATGCAAAAAAATAATAATGCATACAATAGTAACTAAAACGATAATCCCACACGCTGTTTAAAAGGCTGTGCATTGTTTACTAAGAGTTAGCAAGCGAACAGCAATCTGGAGGTCTGTGTGCAAGTGCAAAATCACAAAAAGTCAGGGAAATGCAGAAACGCCCCCCCCCAAAAAAAACCAGTGAGGAAGCCCTAAGACCTTTCCAGATGCTCTTAAGCAAAGCAGCACCTTGCTTACCAGCCTCTGGGGTACTCCCAGAGGCCTCTCACCTCCTTCCCAGAGGATGGGAAGGAAGGCATCGCCATGCAAGGGCGGAGCCCTCCTGCTTCCTTCCCAAAGTCCTGTAAGCGCTGGGTGCAAGTGGGGAAAATAAATAAATGGAGAGAGGAGAATGGTGGGTTTCCCCAGTTCTCCATTCATTTATTTCCCTACCACCATCCGCATAAAGTTGAGATAAAGTGAGCCCAACTTTCGGGCTTACTGTATTTGGTTACGTACTTTTTTTCCTGAGTTTGTGATCCACTTTCGGCATGCAAATAAAACAATGACAATGAAGGAGCGTACCGGAAAATGGCTAGCTAGGTTTTGTCGCCCCTAATTAAGAATGCCTACCAACAAGAGCACAATGCCACAGTGAAAATTTGGTGCATTTTTTTGGCACCCCCGTGGTGCTACTGCAATCAGTACAACACCATGCCTGGGTACGAGCAAACAGCACGACTGTTAAAAAATTCATTTCAAAATCTTCCTGGAAGCTAATAAATTTTACAGCAGTTTCAGTCCTTTCTCATTGCAACAAAGGAAAGCTTAGTTCCAGACAAATTAAAAGTAAATTGATTGCCTTAGGGGGATGTATTCAAATATCACTTTTCCATGTTAGAAATCTCTTTCCCTAAAATGCCGAGGAAGGGAAAAGAGAGAGAACGAACCACAGCAATGGTTTGGAAACAGTAAATCATTAAATCCCTGTTTGCAAAAATGAATAGCAAGGGGCGGGGGGTGGGGGCCATCAAACTTAAAATAAAATGCAAATATGTCACTGGGGTGCAGGCCTAACATTTGTGCCTGAATTTATGAATAATAAATATGAATAAATAGTAAACATGAAGGGATCAAACATTGCATTCAGTGTTCACCCACATTTATCCATCTCTCCCAGACAGCATCTGGAAAGCAACTTTAAATTTTATTGTATTGGGGGCCTTGGGGAAAGGAAAGCAAAGAGACCATTCTGCAACAACTCTGTACGGTGGTACCTTGGGTTACAAACACTTCGGGTTACAGACTCCGCTAACCCGGAAATAGTACCTCGGGTTAAGAACTTTACCTCAGAATGAGAACAGAAATCGCACAGTGGCAGTGGGAGGCCCCATTAGCCAAAGTGGTACCTCAGGTTAAGAACGGTTTCAGGTTAAGAATGGACATCCGGAACAAATTAAGTTCGTAACCAGAGGTACCACTGTATTTAAACTTAGAGATAGTTTACACAATCTTACTTTTTTTCTTTTTCTTTTCTAAGAAGCCTCTGACCCCATCCATCCATTGTCTACACTCAAGTTGGGAAAATGTAAATGATCACAGATATAGAGAATTGTTCAGACACCAGCACTATTGAATCCCAGCAGTTGTTGTAAGAACTTTAGGAATTGGTGCCCAAGTATGATCCCTGCCTTCCCTTCGCATCCCTCTTTTTGTGTGTTTCACAACTTTTAGGTGGTTTGCCTAAATCAGGGCCTGAATCCCTTCTCTGGCAGCCTTTTTTAGCAAGGTAATAAATCCCACTGAATTCCATGAGACTTACTCCCAGGTAAGTGAGCACAGGACCACAAATCAAGCTACTACATTGAAATGAAATGGAAGCATCAGAGGGGGCGTCTTGTTTGCTTTCTTTTCTCCCTCCCTGTACTTTTTAAACATTGAATCATACAATACATAAAGCTGGCAAACAATGACAAAAGGAGAGAGAGAGATACATACATCATCCTTGATCGATAAGCAATGTTCATAATTCACAATCTGTAGCTCTGTTCGCATCGCTGCATTCATGTGACAATTTGGTCTGCTCTAACAAATCATACCAAATTTGAACTATATTTTGTAAAAATTGCAGCTTACTTTAATTGTTTGAGAAGTTCCAGGTCCTAGAAAGCCATAAATCAATGCCAGGAGCTTCTAGCTGAAGCTAATACTTGACAACCAACAGCTTAGCAGATTCTAGAATGCTTGGGAAATTCGATCATCATGAATTCCGGGTACAAAACGACTCAATCCACACTGCTCTGACTAAATGTGCAGAGAGCAGCTTAGCTATCCCTTAGGTTTTGCATTTATGAATGTTCTGACACAGAGTTCAAAAAGGTATCACTATGTCTTTCCAAAATGTGCATTTTGACAAAGAAAAACCATTTAGAAATGAAATGAGCATACTGAAAATAGTATATATTATTAAGAAAACCCCTTCGCTATGTTGTTTTTGGTGCTTAAAAAAAGCAAGCCTACCCACACATGTAATTTTATTATGTATATTTGGGGGGGGGGATTTCTGGATTTATTCATATTTTTACAAATTTTATATAAGTTTGATTTTATTTGTATTTTTGTGTGAATGTTTTTCATTGTTTTATGTATATATTTTGTTGATTGTGCAGTATATAAAGCTTGTTAAAGCCTGTACACTTAGAAAAATGCATATCTTGAAATAAAATACATATTTATGTGTGTGTGTTTTTATTCAAAAAATGCAGATTAATGTGGAAACATGGCAGAACGGACCAGTGAATTAAAAAACACACGTGGCACAGATGAGAAATAAAATGATTCTACATCCCTTGTTTGATCTAATAAACAGGATACTGCTTATGTTTGTTGAGAGAAACAGATTGAGACAGAGAGACATATGTAATGCAAATGAGCATTTCGGACCAATCTACATTTTACATCTGCATAACAAATCGACTGAAGCAGGAATGCCTTTAAGCAGTTGGAAGTTTTTGTTTCATTTTACTTTCTGTGGAAGGTTCTTGGCTACTGTATTTATTTCTTTATCAATCACAGGATGGAACGAAGTCAGTGTACAGTGGTACCTCTGGTTACGAACTTAATTTGTTCCAGAGGTCCATTCTTAACCTGAAACTGTTCTTAACCTGAGGGACCACTTTAGTTAATGGGGCCTCCCGCTGCCACCACGCCGCAGCGGCACAATTTCTGTTCTCATCCTGAGGTAAATTTCTTAACATGAGGTACTACTTCTGGGTTAGTAGAGTCTGTAACCTGAAGTGTTTGTAACCTGAGGTGTTTGTAACCCGAGGTACCACTGTCCTTGGTTAGTGAACTTGCTTAGCCATCCATAGTGAAATGTAAGTCACCCTCTGTGGGTGGATCATTGCTCACTCATAAATTAAGAGGCTGCCTCTCTTCCTTATCTCTCCACACGGTTTAATGTCAGGAGACAAGATGGGAAAGAATTACTGCATAATATTTCTCACCTCTTAGCCTTCTCCATTTGCTAATCAGAGAACCTCAGGAATATAATCCAGGCATGGCTTCCCTTTGGATAATGCTTAGGAGATGCTAATAGCAGGGGAAAGTGGCAAATACCGGTACATCTTACCGCAACTCAGGACGTCTCTCTCTCTCCCTCTTTCTATATATATAATAAAAAAAATCAGACACACAATTTGAACTGTTCCACCATTTCAAGAAATGGACAGAGTTTGGGCAAAAGAAGCATTGGTTCAAAAAGAATGGGGAAGGAGGGAGAGAATTTGAATTGCACCAATTTATCAAGCAACCATCAAACAGGCCCAAGGTCTGAAAATCCAGCTTGGTGGGAGTGGGGGCAGGGGGGGATTTCCACTGTGATCACCCTGCTAAAGAGGTTAGATCCACAGCCTGCAGAAATCGCTGTAGCCCTGTAAAAAGCAGTGGAGTTGTGCACATTTGCACCAGGTAAAACTGTCACTGGCCTTTTCTTTCTCCCAGCCTATATAGCCATTAATAATTTAATTCCTTCTTGTTTACTGTACTCATGTAGCACATGAAGAGTGACACCTTTGGTTATTTACATCGGAGATAATTTTCTCATGACATAGTGGGCAGATAAATAGAAAACAAGAGGAAACAGCAGCTGCTCAGGCTGCAAAAATAACAAGAAAGGTAGTTTATTTCAACAGACAGGATGCTAAATTTGAACATGAGTCCTCAGCTATGGACTTCAGCAACTCACTGGGTGGCTATGCACAAGTCATTCTTGTTCAGCCTCAGGTACCTGTTTCTAACAAGGGAAGCACAACTGGCTTCCTCAATGAGTAAATACAATCTCATACTGTAATGGGTTTGCTGCTGGTGACACCTCCAGAAGCCTTTGGCTGTCCTGCTGTGATGTCAGAGATGTGAGTTGGCCCCTCTGCTCCCAGCAGCTGAAGAACTAAAGAGAAACCAGAGCTCAGTGGTAGAGCACATGGTTTGTACGTTAAGTGTCCTAAATACAATCCATGGCATCTCCAGTTTTAAAATTGATCGATTAGCCCATCATGGGAAAGACCTCTGTCAGGGATTTCAGAGAGCTGCTGACAGTCAACACTAAAAAGCTGGATGGAGAAATAGTCTGGCCTGGTATATGGCAGGAGGAGGAAAGAGGAGGAACTAGTGAGAAATGAGGAAGGGCAGGAGAGGGGTGACAGCACTAGGAAAGCAGCACCCATCTAAAACAAGGATGGGAAACCTATGGTCATCTGGTTGTTGTTGGGCTACAACTCCCATCAGCTCCAGCTGCCGTGGCCATGGTCAGGGTTGGTGGAAACTGTAGACCCACAACACCTGGAGGGTGTGAAATTCTGGAAAGCCACTGGCAGTCAGCATGTATACAATACATAGTTAGGTGAATCAATGGCAAAAGGCAGCTTCCTATGTTCTCCTAAAACTGCCCCTGCATTGTCATGGGAATCCCATGCTCCTTCATATTTGAAACAAAGAGAAAAACTGAGTTCATATAGAAAACGGAGAAAAGTTCATAAAGAAAACAGCAGAAAGGTTCAAGTCTAGCTTTCTCCCTGAAACAATACTCTTAGGTGTATGGATTTTTCTCTTCTTGGGACAACATTTAATCAAACAATGTTTACATGCACTTGAAGTCTGATGGTATATTATAGAAACAGTCTTGCCTTGCGGTGAGCTGTTTGCCTAGAAAAGATCTAGGGCCCATATACACTATATATTTAAAACAATACCACACCACTTGAAACAGTAATGGCTTCCCTTCCAAAGTATCCTGGGAACTGTACTTTGTTAAGGATGCTGTGAGTTGTCAGGAGACCCCTATTCACCTCACGTAGCCACAGTTCCCAGAGTTCCTTGAGAAGAGGGTTTGACTGTGAATTGTAGCTCCATACGTTGGGTTGGAGGTCTCCTAGCAACTCAGCACCTTTAACTACAATTCTCAGGATTCTTTGGGGGAAGCCATGACTTCCCCCAAAAGCACCATATTGCTTCAGATCTATAGTGCAGATGGGTCCTCGGACACATTGTTGAGGTAACCAAAGGTTGCAGAAATTGTTGTTCCCAGCAATGCTAGGAACATGAGCCTGAAACAGCCAGTGCCAGCATCAAATTTTGGAGGGTCCATGGGCTGTGCTTTTGCCCACACAGCTTGGTTTCAAGCCATGTGGGCAAAACAGGGTCACCTGATGTCATTCAGACATCTGGTGATAAGCAGTTGGGAAGCCCTACCCTCCTGTCAAAGATGGCCCACAGTGGGTGGAGGAAATAGCAATCTGGCCTGCTGACCAGACCCAGTTTCCCACTGTCTGTGACATTGGTCTTCAGGTTATGGCCTGATTTTTTTTTTAATATATATTTGTATAGAGCTAAGGCTGCTGTGACAGTGCATCTTAGATCGGGGGGGGGGGGGGAGGGTCACAACAGCATTCAAATATATTGATTTTTTAAAAAATAGGAAATGGGTCCCCAAGTACATGCTTGAATTAAAGGCTTTGAAAAAGTTGAAGACTACTAGTCTAGTCTAGCCTAGTTTATTACATACCCACAAATCTGGTGGGTCCCACTGGCACATTCCTAAGCTTGCTGTGGATGGTAGGCCCAACACCAGCTTGCTCTCCATCCTTGCATCATACCCACAGCAAGACTGCTAAATCATCAACGTAGCTAATAGGGTATTCTGTACCAAAGCCATTGTCACCAAGACCGCTTGCATTAATAAGGTGAGCCTTAAGAAGGGGGATGAACTCAATAATCTGATAGGGCTTTTTCATCTCTATCCATTATGATTCTATAGTTTGCATACCCAATTCCCATTAATGCTAATGGGAGTTACTGTACTGCGTTCCGTGTGAGAAGAATACAGGCCTTTTGACTTCATTACGGAAATTTAAAATTCATTACCACAGGATACTGAGGGATTGCCCTAAATACTCTCTCTTTGTTATATATTTCCTAGTTAATGCGACCATTTGAGTGTACTGTACCCTGCTGAGTAGGAAACATTTTCTAGGCTGTTTAAAACACATTCTCCACAATTGGAAGCAAGTCTTTTGTCTCCATTTATGCCTTTGACACTGGCTGCCTTCAGCTTAATGGGACCAGAGTAGATAAAAGCAAATTAATCCAAAAGGTGACTTTTTCTATCCTATTGTCAAATCTCACAGATACAAATTCAAGTATTCCTCATCTTCCTGCGATTCAACACAAGCCATGCATTCAAATCTGAGCTGCAACAATGAATCCAATTATTAGAACATCCTATTCAAAATTATGCGTCAATCAGAAAATGACCGCTTGACTATGCTCATATAAAAAAATACAAAACACTGAAATTGCCAGTGGGGGGTGGGGAAGAGGAGGAATAAGAGGAGAGATTCCAAGGTGCAGCAATGGGGCACACCTTAAACTGGAAAGAACTGGATATAGCCTGCAGAAAATTTGTTCAGAACACTTTTTCTCCAAAGACCTTGTTGCTCTCCAACTAGAAGCTGGAACCTGACTAGCTTTTTGATTGACTTGAAAGGTAGTGTAAGGCACATACATCCTAAAAGCTGGTGGTGTAAATGAGAGTAGTGAGGTAGCAGTGACTAGTAAGGAGCTAGTAAGACCTGGGTTCAAATCCCTGCTCAGCCATAAAGCTCCCTGGGTGATCCTGGGCCACTCAATTATTCTCACAGCCCAACCTAGGGGTGGCCAAGTGTCCTCCTTAACAGAGGGCAGTCCTTCATTTGACAAGCTGGGATTCAAGGTTCAGTTTAAAGATAAAGAACCATAACAGCAGAGGCCTTGAAGTTGCCCATCAACAGTTAGTACCCAGGCAGGATACAGAACAGGGACACTGGTCACAGTATCCCCTGCTTTGTGGGGGGGGGGGAGGGGTTGCACTGTACTTCTGTTGAAATTATAGCAAGTATTTTATTTATCTATTTATTTAAAATGCTTCTTAATTAGCACACAAAATTCTTTTTTCTTTTCTTTTTGCAGGTACTTTTTGCTGATCCGTTTGTGGAGATGAGCAAGTAGCCTAACCAACCTCACTGAGTAATTCCGAGGGAAAAGATCTTCCATTTAAGTTTCTTGGAATAGGGCAGATTGCAGAATAGATAGGCAAACAGTGAGAACTGCAGGCAGGGTTATGCTGACAGCATCTCACTCCTGTTAGCAGCTGTGCTGCAGTTTCCTGCTCTAGCTGCAATTTCTTGACCAAGTGCAATACCTGAGCTGCTGTGGTCAAGCTACCTGAGTCCAGGAACAGCCACGGTTTCCATGCCAGCTGAAAATTGATAAAAGGTCTCCTAACCCACTGCGATAGCCTAATGTGAATTGCTCACCTTAGCAAGAGTCAGACCAGGGATATTCTCACTGTTCATGCTCTTAGGGCACAGGAAGTGACCTTATTCGAAGTCAAACTGCTGGTCTGTTTAGCCCAGAATAGTATTACTCTGACTTTGAATGGCTCTCTTATTAGCAGCTTTTTTTAACTGGAGCTGCCAGGGTCCGAACCTGGGACCCTCAGCATGCAACGCATGTGCTCCTCCCCTGAGCTATGGCTGTTGCTTCCTAACTCTTAGTAATGACACTCCACCAGCCCTTTATTTACTCACCCAGCCCAGTAGTAAATATAATGGTGATGTTTCATGCTTGAGGAAACAAACCTACCATTTCCCATGTCTCTCAAAGGCAAGAATATCAACTTCGGGATGGACCGGGCAGTCAAAAGTGTATTCATGGCACCCTTCAATAGCCTGCCTATTGGGACCTGGCAGCCTCCACCTAACACTGGCCCTCTGTTGTCCTTCATGTAAATATTGTTGGGACGACAGCCAAGGCAGAGGGAAGGGAGTGCCTCTTCAAGCAAGATGGGAATCTCTAGTGTCAGATACAGCCAGCCTGACTAATGAGACCTCCTGCTTGCCAAATCCTCTGTCTATTCCAGCCATTGAATATGCTCAGAAGCTCCATGGCACCAGCCCAACAGTCTACAGATCCCAATCAAGTATCAATAGCTTAAGTGTAAGTGATGGCAAAGGGGGAAAGTGCCAAGTGTTCCTTTTCTTTTCTTTTAGTTTCAGGAACTTCAGTTGCTGTTATGGCACTAGTGGGAACGTAAGCAAGGACTTAATTAATCCTATCACAGAATGGATCCACCACAGGGCAAAGAAAAGCGGGGGTGGGGAATCAAAAGGAGCTATTTTGGAGTTTTTACAAAGAGAGAGTGCCAGGGTGAGAGAGTTGGCACAGTTTTCAGCTGCGTGAGGGTAGCTCCCATTAATGAGGGGAAGTCCGGGATCCTCTTTCAAGCAATGTTCATGGGAAGAAAGGTGAACAGTGTTAGTTTCTTCTGAAGTGGCACACATCACTTAGGGCAGGGTACACAGCCCAGTGCAAAGCCTCTTCTATGTTGTGCAGAAGGTTTCAGATTCAATCCTCAGCATCTCTGGTTAAAAAGGACCTTAGGCCTGCAGGGCAAGAAATACCCTCTGTCTGAGTCCTTGGGAATCTGCTGCCACTCAAAGGAGGCAGCACTGATCTGGATGGACAAAAAGTTCTGACACTGTGTAAAGAAACTTCATACACAGTGGTGCCATCAGGACAGGACTTTGGGGGCAGGAGTCTAGGGCCCGGCCCAGCAGATTGAACAGAATGGCCTCCTCAAACACAGCAGGGGTAACTTACCACATTCTGATGGGAGTCCCCCGCAAGACCATTAAATGCAGTCTAAAATTACCTGAATGTACCATACTCAGACAGGAACATTTTAATGGGGCTCTGAATACCAGGCAGGTAAGAGAGAAGGATGTAAGGGGTAGGATGACACATAAGACCCTAGGAAATTGCCAAAAACCAGAGGTTTTCTAAGGTTATCTGCCCATCTACTCTCACTGGCAGTAGGTTTTTGAAGGGAGACTAAGCCTGAAGAAATGATTAAGAGGTGAAATGATGACAGCCATCTTCAAATATTCAATGGGCTGTTGTCAGGGCTGGATTTAGGTTTGATGAGGCCCTAAGCTACTGAAGGTACTGAAGGTAAGGGGGCCCTTTATATGTCCAGATGTCCTTTGTCAACAACAAATTTGTCACTGCTGTTTGTGTTGAATATATGCCATGCAACCAGTCCATGCAGAATGTAGGCACCCTATATATAGAAATAAGAAAACCAGTGATATTTTAGGGAGCAGGCTAGCAGGCGGGGCCCATTACTTACATCATAGGAGCCTACACAACACAAAAACTGTTGCTGTATGTAGGTTTTATTTTATTTGTTTTTTATCTTATATTTTGGAAATGTACATCCAGGATTTTTTTCCCTTTAAATTTTTTTGGGGGGCCCATGAGAGTGGGGCCCTAAGCTATAGCTTGTTTAGCTTATACGTAAATCCAGCACTGGCTGTTGTATGAATGATGAATTCTATCGCAACCTTCAACCCTTGGCCTAATGACCCGGAAGCTGTACGCCGGCTCCCTCGGCCAATAAAGTGAGATGAGCGCCGCAACCCTAGAGTCGGTCACGACTGGACCTAATGGTCAGGGGTCCCTTTACCTTTACCTTAGTTGTACGAACAGAGGAGGGCATCAATTGGACACACAAAATGGTTTCTGCCTTTATTGTAATAGTTTATAAATGTGTTTCTATGCATATTAATCAGTGCATGACTTCTTTTTTTGGTGGTACATTTCCACTTTTTGGTGATGCGTGAATGAGCTCCCTATGCCTTAAAAATGCAGCAACATCTTTGGAACTTTACTCTTCACTGATCTGCCAAATGGGAGAGACCTGGGCTGCTGCTGTACAGAGGAAATCCTGCCATTATAACACTAGCAGTGGCAGCCAGAGGTTGTGCCTTTGGGGTGATGAGCAGGCAAAGAGTGTGATGTCATCCTTGAAATTAAAGCTGGGGGCATGTTGGAATGCTCTCTGCTGCCTGAAGGGAGACTGCGGGGACCAGGAGACAAAGGAGGCTGAGTATTAGGACATGGGGTGGGACAATAAGGCCAGAAGGAAGACCTTTGCAAGGCTTTAACAGGATTAGCACATTATTTAAAATGTTTTGCGCTGAATTTAGCTTTTGCTTGTCTAAAATGTTGATATATGCTATGATTTGTTGCACTAACTTGCATTCTGATAATTTGTGCTAATTGGGTTGCTGTTCTGTTTTGGTGTTAGCTCCTTTGGGCTTCCTTTAGGCAGGAAACACTGGATATAAGCATGATATGAAATGGAAATGGAATTCAAGAGTCAGGCTACCTCTGCCTATGGAGGTTCCATTTAATCATCAGGACCAACAGTGATGGGTATGGAGTGAGCGTGATGCTTAGGGGTCTTGAAATAGATCCCCAACCTTAGCTATGACTAGCAAAAAATATGAAAAAGACAGACATCCAAATAAATGATTAAATACCAGGTGCAATGTATACACACACACACACACAGAGAGAGAGAGAGAGAGAGAGACAGAGAGACCCAGAGTCAGAGAGAAAATGCAGAATCCAGCTTTCCTTAGTGCAAAAATCAGATTGCTTTTAAAGAACAACTTATTACAGAGCATATGAAGTTCTGGTTAATGGTCTGTAACTAGTCAGATAATTCATAGAATCATTGAATTGGAAAGGACCACCAGGAGAATCTAGTCCAGGGGTAGGCAACCTAAGGCCCATGGGCCACAAGTGGCCCACGGGGGTCATTTAACCAGCCCACGAGCCATCCCCAAACCGAGCCTCCTGCTTGGCAAGTCTCTGTGTGCTGCGCTAAAGCAGCGCAGCGTGGCACGGGGACTCGCTTCCTCAGCGCCGGAAATCGCGTCTGCACATGCACAGATGCTGGAAATCGCAGGCGCGCATGCAATGTGACCCACAAAGGGATCTCTGCTGAAGTGAACTGGTCCAGGAGAGGTAAACCTTGCTGACCCCTGATCCCTGCAATGCAGGAATTTTTCACCCAACATGGGGCTTGAACCCACAACCCAGAGATTAAGAGTCTCATGCTCTACTATAGTGGAGCTATCCATCAGGGATCTTTCTTATGTGATCTTGACTCCATACCCCAAAGTACTTAAACTACTCACTCAGCCTCAGTCTGGACTCTAGAAAAGAGGGCTTCCATCATAGAAGCAACTTTGGAACTTTTAAAATACACTCATTTAAATGGAATGCAGGGTGGGGCAGAGGGCTGTTCTATCTGAGTTTGCAATAAGCCTCCCTGATCTCCCCACAAGGAATCAACAGGGTTTTTAATGCTAGGGAGTGATGAAACTCTCACTTTCTGGGAACAGCAGGAATTCAGTCCCAGAAAGGAGCCTGGTTGGAGCTGGTGAATATTTAAAGTTTGATTCTAGTTCCTCCATATACAACACCAACCAGAGTCTCCATTTGAACTTTGAGAGCAGCTTTCCTCTTCTGAAAGGGCAAATGTAGCCCTATAGAAATCCTGCCGAACCATCTCCATGGGGAGCCTTCCTGACGCCTCCTCCATGTCTGGTGCACAGATGCAACCCCCGCCTCTTGTCACTATGCAGTCTAGTCATTTAGAAAACACTTAGCCATGCAGCAGGCAATAGAATTAAAAAAACATTAAACTTCAGAAGGGGGCTGGGGAGGGGGTGCTCAAACTTTGACAAGCTGCATCTAATGCTAAGTATAATTAATTAAATTGGATGAGGCACAAGGGGAAGAAGGCAGAAGAGGATGGCAAGCTGGAATCAGGATGGTAATGCACTGATATTTTGCGCGTCATCTGGTAAAGGAAATAAGCAGGGCTGTAGTGGTGCAAGAGAGTTGGGGAAGACGTGGCTTTCAAAAGGAAGCGTACCGGGGAAAGGGAGCAAAATTCAGGAGAAAGAAGTAATAACAATGCAAGAGAAGATAATTAAAAGAAAGCCAGGTAACTAAGAATATTATCTTACAAAAGCTGCAATGAAGGCTGCAGGGGTAAACAGCTCAGTGGCAAAGCATCTGCTATCTGCTTTGCATGCACAAGATCCCAGGTTCAATGCCAGGTATCTTCAGGTGGGGCTGGGAATGCCCCCTGCCTGAAACCCCGGAGAGCAGCTGCTGGCAATAATAAAATAGATGGCCTAATGATCCAACTCAATATAAGACAGCTTCCTATGAATAAAATAAGGAGGTCAACATTTCAATGTTGTGAGGTCTGAGAATGCAGATGCACAGCCAAAATGAAGAAACACGAAGCCACATATAGATGGAAGCCACCCTCTCAATCTATTGCTGTTGAAGCTGTTATAGCAGCACCAGTTTCCCAGAGACAGAACTGTATATCCCCCACAATATTCCAAGGGGCAAAGTTTTAACAAGCTTGACGACTCCATCAGCACAGATAATTAAGCAATTAGAACAGTCAGAAGTTGACAAAGCACCAGCTGAATGATGCCCATGAAGCTACAAAAGAGAAGAGGGGTTCTCCCAGTGGAAAAAGCTTTTGTCAATGGTTCTCCTGATTGCTTGCCAAGGGCAGGGGGAGCTGCAAGGCACATAGGCAAGGCTGATTTCCATGCTGCCATGAGAGGAAGGGCAAAAGTGAAAGGCTGGAAAAATGAGAGGGACCGATCGTTTTATTTTATGTGGTGTTTACAAGTCCTCATCCATTGCAAAGGGGTGATGTAGGAAAAAGCTAATTCCTAGTGATATTACTAAATGTTTTTTGAATGTGTGCTTCACAAAGAGCCTTCCTTTATGAGCTCAGAGAGGAAAAGCACATTTGAGTCACAATATTTAATCTAGGGACGTTTATGAACAATTTCAGGCAAGGATACTGAGACATGCTGCCAATCCCAGCACTCATCATTCACAGAGATACATAGTTCCACACCCTAATATATCAGCGCTATGCAAAAGCCTTCATATTAGTAATCTCAGATGGCTCTCACATGCATTTATAACTTACTCCTGAGGAAAAGGAATATTGCTGAGGACGTTGTATTAGCAGTCCTTGCAGCTTGGGTGAATTAGATTGAAGCAATCATTTACAGTTTCTGGAGTTCAAAGGCTTTATTAATGCAGAAACTATTTATAGAATGAGTGGAAAGGAGAGAGAGAAAATGACTGACATCTTGGCTCAACATTAGGAAAGAAAAATAAACCAAAATGGCCCAGCTTTTTAGGGGTGGAATTAATTTAGAGCGAGAGACTACAAGCAGGGAGTAGCTGGATCACTAGTGCCCTCTTGGAGTTTAAAGTAACACATGCATTAACTATAAATTCAAGAGAAGAAAATGTATTTGCTTTTCTACAACACTGTGCATCCAGGAAACTGTCATGGTCCCCAAGGCACCACAAAATACCCAAAAGATATCTTTAAAGATATCTCATAAACTAAAAGTATGTAAAGGGCAGAGCTCAAATGACGGTGGGTTTTTTAGTATTTTTTGTTTTGTGGCATGGTTTTACTTCTTATATGCAAATAATGAAGCACATGGCTACTCAGAGTAACCAGTATATGCAAACATCTGGCTCATCTAAGACTTTATAGAACTTTTATTCTCAATGGTGATGGAACTCAGAGGGGGGAAATACTTTTTATTTTTATAAATCTTTATTATTTGTAAAGGGGATCTTTGTACGAGTCAATACTTTACTATCCCTTTGGAGCCCTTTGGAATTCTTTTAGCCTTCCAAGCAGTGACACTTTATGGCTTACATTTTTTATTCTTTTTTATGTTCGCACTTTGTTTTAACAAAATCTACAAAATATTAAATGGGGGGGGGAAACGTGTATGTTTTGCAACTGCAAGACACACTGCAATGGTCTAAGATCAGGGGGTCCCCAACATTTCTGGACCCAGGGACACATCTAAGAAACTCCAAGAAAATTTAAAAAACTGTCATAAGCACCACAAAATACCCATTTCACAGAAAAGCAACAGGCAGTGCTCAGAACCTGTCTAAGATTCTCAGGAGCCACTCCTTCTCCCAAACAACAGGCTAACCAACTACAAACACCCCAAAACAAATAAAACACAGACATATAAAGCAGGCAACTCCTTATAAACCTGATACCCTGCCCCCCCAGCAACTACGACAACAAAACCACCTCATTTTAAAAATATTAGGAGGGGCAGGGGACCTTGATGGGCACCAAAGATGGTTTCTGAGGTGCCACATTGAGGATCCCATATCTAGATAATTTTTTGATCTGATTCAACATTACTCTTTTATATTCTTATTCTGAATCAACAGGTGTGCATATCTTGAAAAGAAGATGCACTGAACCCATCTGCAGGCCCCAGATATCCCTCACCTGCTGCCACAACAGATATGGAAAGCCAATACTGCAAATGAGCCTCAAGGTTCACACAAAGAAAAGGAGATCTGCTGAACTGAAAACAGTAGAAACTTGCATGCAATTATTTCATACGTTCCAGAAAGCTGTGGAATAGGCTCCCAATCTTCAAGGTATCTGAAAAGCAGGACTATGTAAAAACTAAACTGTGCTCACCGAAACACCAAAGGCTACTGCAGCAATCTCCTTCCCTGGGCTGGAGACAGTAGCAGTGGGCATTTTCAACAGAAGGGGGGCATATTCACACCATACATTTAAAACACATCCAATGCACATTTAAAGCACATGGCTTCCCCCAAAAGAATCCTGGGAATTGTAGTTTAAGAGTGTTGGGAATTGTAGCTCTATGAGGGGGAAACTGCAGTTCCCAGGTTTCTTTGGGGTATGTCAAGGGTTTTAGAAATATGTTGAATGTGCTTTAAATGTATGGTGTAGATGCACCCCAAGTGTTTTTTCTCCCCATGATTTGCCAGATACAGAGTTTAGTAGCCTGAGGGGCACAAGAGAAGGAGGGAGCACTTTGGACACATTTTCCAACACTGCAGGAGAAGGAGTCTACTACCCTTGCATTTAAGTACTAGCCTGGCAGCCACAGACAACAAAGAACTGCATGCAAAAGAGTGCTTAGAATCCCATGCAAGTGACTGAGTAGGCTGGCAGGGGAGGGACTATTCTCTCCTCTTCTGCACTCAGCATAGACAACAACTGAGCTGCCAGAGAAGGGCAGTCACCTCTTCTACCCAGCACAGAAATGCAGAAAGCCCCCCACCCATTCTCTGCCAGCACCTAGCAGGCTAGTTTTAAAAAAGCAAGTTAGCAACTTTTTGGGGGTTATTAGACAATCCTGGTCTTCCGAATAGCCAATGTGAAATGTTTAAGATGCAAGAAGCAGAGGTTGTTTTTTACGACCTTGGACGGTGAAAACTGTTCATGATAATTGTATGTTTCTAGCTAACAAAAAGTCCCCAGGTGCTGCGAGTTTTGGAAAAACTTACATGAATGAATACATTCCCTAAGACGGAGAGGGCTCAGGTGGAAGATGGATGGCGACACAACATTTCTACTGGATCCCAGGGAAGGACTAAGTACAGCTTTCAGCTGCAACACAGTCCAGTGGCATGCTGATTGGGAACCAGTATGGACTCTGAAGGTGCAATTTCCCCATGATGAAGAATAATTCATTTACTTCAAGGGAGGGAGACAAGGGGAATCAACCACATTTAGCATCAGAAGCATGAGCTCCAAGATTGCTTTCATTTCCCTTGTACATAAAATGAGTTTGATGCAAGCTCCATTTCCAACATGGCTACACATGCTAATGGCAAGATTAGAAAGGTGGAGAGACTGAGCAGCACAGCAAACAAAATTCAATTGACACAAATAGCAGGAGCTTCTAGGTTAAGCATGTGGCTTGGTGTGAGTTTTGGGGAAAGGAGTGTGCTCATTTCCCAAGGAAAGCAATGGTAAATGAAGAAGCAAGGAGCCCAAGAGACAGTGGAGAAAAGCCTGCTGGGGCAAATGAGGCACTGTCACACCAACCTAGGCCTGCCCTCTAACTTACAACCAGTCCAAGGGTGACATTGGCTGTCAATGTCTTCCTGCTTAGTCTTGCATTTTGCCTTTGTAGAACAGGGAGGAGGATGGGGGACAAAATTAGAATTAGTTGACTCTGCCCATGGTCAACAGTTTCCCTGTCACACAGGTGGAAGCATCTGTGCAAAAAAAAGGAATAAATTCCACTATCAGAGGGACACTGCTGGATAGAACTTGGAGGCTTAAAAAATATTTTTAAAATCTCCTAGACCTTTTAATTCAAAACCACTTTGAATGCTGCATTTTCCTGAGGGATTCTAGTGGAAATGCTAGGAAGTGAACCCAGCGCCTTGGCCATGCACCTGATGCATGCACAGAATATTTGCTCACCCACTGAACAATGGCTGAGTGGCTTGTATTGGCTGCACTCTGGGTCTTGGGACAATGGAGACAAACCTATAGGTTTACCTGGCATAATCAAATGTTTTTATAGGCTCTAGTACTTATCAAGCCTGTTGTCTTTGTCCATGGACCAGAGCATGCGTGCCTGGTGTGCTCTGGTCCATGGGGTCATGAAGAGTCGGACACGACTAAACGACTAAACAACAACACTTATCAAGCACTAAGATGAAGCCCAACCCACAAACCACACATTGTGGCCTGCCAGTTCCTACTTGTTCCAGTCCCTGGCAGTACATGCAACCTCTTGTAGGTCAACATACAAGAGAGGTGAGCTTTGTTGGCTTGATGTGAGATACGTTGTGCAGGCTGACCTAGTCTAGAAATTTCAGAGAATGAGGTGAGACAGCAAGACAATTAGCCTGGTCTTTCCACTTGGCTACATCTGAGGGAGATGTGAAACAGCAACAGCTCCTCCATGGGCCTGGCTGGGAACAACTATGCTTGATCTCCTCTCTTCCCCTCCCAGAATGATCTCCTGGTAAGTGAATTTGACATGTTTTCTTCACTCGCTGTCCATTTCTCCTCTTGTATCATGTCGATTAGATTGGTAGCTTTTAAAAAAAAAGTTGAGCCAGCTTGAATGCAGCTCTTTGACCTGGCCTTTTGACGCCTGAAATGTGTGTTTTCAGGACCCACCCTATCCCTGTGGTGTAAATTGCTTTATTTGTTTTTTCAATACTGAATTTTTGATTGTTGAAACCTGCCCTGGTACGTGCTGAAGGGTGGGTGATAAATGCGATCATCATTAGAAAAGTGGTATACAAATGTAGTAAATATCTCTCCCGCCCCTCACAAACACTTTCCTTCTAAACCAGAAATGTCCCCGATGCGGCTTCATTTAGTGTTGTGACTTGCTGACCCAATGGCAGCTAATGTGAACTGTGAAAGCCATCACTTCCCCGTTAGGAACTTCGGGAGCTGTGGCTGCTAGTTCTGCATTTAAATGACTAATTGGTGGGAGCAGAGAGGTGAACGAGCAACCCTTCCATTCTATTAGTGCTGGGCTGCATCATTCATTTCCTTTATTTTCACAAAGGTCAGAAGCAAGCAAAGCAGAAACAGATAATTAAACAGTTCTCCAGCCATCACCAATGCACATATTTCAATGAACTTAGAGGCAGCTAGCCAGTGGGAACAGGATTCAAACAAGGTCCTTTCCATCAAGGCAGAATTACATCATCCTGATGCACATGGGTTTGCTGAACGCATGGGCAGAAGGGGTCATTTCAAGGGGAGAAGAGATGGACAGAAAGGCCTGCTTAAGCCTTTTCAACCTGTTGATGCACGTATTTCAATGAGGTTACAGGCAGGATGCCTTCATGGTTGTCATACCACACCACTCACAACCACGCCCTACTAAGCTTGTACAATAAAAATGAGCTTTCCGTATCTTTGTTTGTGGTTTGGTTGAGCAATGAATGCAGGATGAGGTGTGTGGGGTTTTTTGAGGTCCTGTAAGAAGACAAATGATAGAGACTGCAGAAGGTTTTGTTGCTGTTGCTGTGAATAAATTACAGCTCACAGAAAGCAAATCACACACTCAGAGCAAAATGGTGGTTTTGTTTTGCGAAGTAAAGCAGCTTTCAAAAGTTTCAATAATTCAACCCACAAGTGGGGGGTGGGGTGGGGGAGTGTTAAGTTACAGGGTAGAGGCAGAAATGAAATGAAGTTTCGAGATATCATGGCCCTTACCAAAGTAATAGCTATTTGCCTTCAAATGAAGCTTGTTTCAAGTGTTTCTCCAGAGAATAGGGGGGAAAGGGAAGGAATAAGCAGAAGCAATGACCTTAACAACAGACATTCGGGTGCAAAATTGCCAAACTGCCTGAAGGGAAAATATTTGGTGCTGCAGATAATGGCCTATTAGGCTCAATCTTTAGCCACTTAGAGGGCAATTAACACCAGAAGTTTGCGAAGACAAGACACAAGCCAGTGCAAATCACAACTTTCGGGGGATCTGGGTTTGTAGGACTATTGCATAGGGAACCTGCTGGAACCCTGCTCCTCAAAAAGTAAAGGGTATAGGACCCCGACATCATAACCCTCAATGACTTCACCCCGATCCTCTACATTGGCATTATGAGGCAAACACAGGTTTTGGAGGCTCAATTTCTGGCCCAGAACATATGTGTCTATCCTGAAAGGAGAAATATTTGAGCTCAACAATAGCTTTGAAACCAAGCTGCACATATTCAATTATACATTCAGCTATACAGCCTTCATCAAACTGGTGTCTTCCAGACGTTCTAAATTACAATTCCCATCAGCACTAAGCAAGCAGGGACTGATGGGCTTCATAATCCAAAGCATCTGGAAGGCACCAGGCTAGTGAAGGCTGCATTTCAAGTTGTGCATCTGTTGGACTAAGAGCCCAAAAAAGTACACTATTATTTACTAAAAACATTTTTCATTCCATTGCTCCCACTATCTGAGGGGGCTTTCATAAATTTAAATTTAAATCAACAATAAAAACATCTCTTTTTTAAAAAAAACCAAAAAACTATGCGGCTCTACAATGGTACAAGCAAAACAGCAAAGACTGCAGTGGCAGAAAACCATAGGCAAAAGCTATGTTGACCTTTTTTTTCTTCTATAACCAGATGTTAACAGCATAAGATGCATAAAGCTAAAAATATATGGTTTTAAAGGGGGACTGGACAAGTTATGGAGGGGAGATGTGTTAATGGCTGTTAGCCATCACATGTAGGGCCTGCAACAAGCTGTTGCATTGTGTGTTCCTTCCTAACAACAAAGTTCCTGTTCAGGATTTCAGACAGCCTAGGCAAGGCATTCAATTCTCTTTCCTCCTCCCCTGGTCTGGTTTTCTTTCCCAACCTTCAACACTGCTTGACTATCATGCATGTTCCGTTCTCATTGGGCTTGCAGAAGGAAATGCCCCTTCAGTTTTTGAGAGAGAGAGAGAGAGATTTTGTCAAACCTCAGGCTTTCACCCAAAATTATATATTCCTGTTGTTTCTCAGTGGGTTTGTTTTGGCTGCATAGCTATTGGCATTCACTAGCTGAGTTAGCTTTAAGAAGGAACAATGGTTCCAAGTTCAGAGGCAATGTGAAACAGCATATCAGTTGCTAGAGGGCTTCCTAGCAACATCTGTCTGGACACTGTTGGAAAGAGGATGTTGGGTGGAGGTGCTCCCTCTGAGAGAGGCATTGCTGAGTCGGAAAATCATATACTTATAGAATTGTAGAGTTGAAAGTGGGAACTTGCAAAGGAAGCAATGATAGCAAGAGCTAGTGTACTGTGATAACTAGAGTGTTATACTTCAACTGCAGAAACCAAGATTCAGTCTTGCTTGGCTACTGAGTGGCTATGGGCCAATCATTGCAACCACTGCTGCAAGGGAAAAAATGGAGTGAAACATGTTTACAGCTGGCCACTGTAGTCCATGCATTGATAACCCTGAGGCTGGATTGCTGCAATGTACTCTATGCGCGGCTGCCCTTGGGCCGGATCCAGAAGTGCCAGCTGGTGCAGAATGAGGCAGCCAGACTGCTACCACCAACATTCAATATCACTGTTAGAACATCCTTACTGCCTGCCCATCTACTACTGAGCCATGTTCAAGGTCCTTGCATTAATTTACAAAGCCCTGAACAATTTAGACCTACAGTGCCTGATGGGCTACCTGAATTCTTATCACCTGAACTCCCAGCTAGATGACTGAGATCATCTGCAGGAGTGTCACCCGAGTTGGTGAGGCTCATCAGGGAACAACAAAAAACTGAGCCTTTAGTTTAATCGTCTCGATGCTGCAGAATGATCTGCCAATAGAGGTTCAGCAGGCACCTTCTGTTTCAACCTTTAAACATCTGCTGAAAACTTTTCTGTGTTGCTAAGCTGATGCTAAGCTTATGCAGACAATTACGAAAACATCTTTCTGTAATAGCTGGTTGATGATCTCCGATTTCAAATTTTCATGTGTGTTTTTTTAAAATTGTACTGTATACATGTATGGTGGTTGAAAATGGCTTTGATGTTTTTATGCAGTAGTGGTATGCACGCTTCCAGGGTTGTCTGTCTCCTAGCTGTTGAGCTGGTGAACTGGTGAGATTCACTGTTGTGCAACAGTCGCACTAGCAGAAACAAATTGGCATCAGATTGTGCAAGTAAATTACCAGCAACTTGCTTATGCTCTTGCACAATAACACTTCACTTGTACAAAACACAAATAAGGGACTCTTTTGATCTTACGGAGCAGACAGGATGGTATAGAAGGAAGCAATTCCCAGGGTATACTGGTCCTAATCCATTTAGGGCCTTACAAATATATTTGCCAATCAATCCCCACTCCATCTTATGTAGAATCTCATTATTTTATGCAGAGATGCAGCAGAACACCCCCCATTGTCTTCAATGTTCTTTTAAGCAACTCTTTGATCAGTATCAACATGTGTCCCACCCCCACTGCCTCTTCCTTCACACACATACAGGTATGTCTGGAGATGGTCCAGTGTTTATAATGTTTCTTTAATAAAAGTGTCCTGGATTTAAGGGAAGCAGCAAGACTGATGCAGGTTGCTATGGCAAATACACATTTTCCTATTTAGTAGCATAATCAACAGCCTTGTACAATTTTCTGATTTCAGATTCTCATTCCAAATTGTGCAGCTTGGATTATCCAAGTCACCCTGTTATTAAGTTATTCAAACCATTTTAATTGGAAATATTATTATTATTGTTATTTTTAACAGCTCTGCAAATGCAACACTTTTAAGCCATGCTCTATGCCTTTCTCAAAAGCAGAAATGCCAATAAATTACATTCAGGTTAGGTATCTTTTTTCTGCCATTTTAAGCACAGTTCCATTGCAGCATTAATCATCTGCGCCTCTGCTGAAGAGGAACGTGGACATTCAAGATCAGAATTAAAAGGTAAATGTGCCATGCAAAGGTGGTCTAGGGAGTTGGTCCATTTTTGTAAAAAAATAAAAAATACCATTGCTATTTCAAGCTTAGAGATCTATATACTGTAGTTTTATTTTGGCTCTAATTAGTGTCATGAAGGAAACACCAAAAGGTTAACAAGAGACTGTTAGTTTATAATGCACGCTTCCTAGTGCCAACTCTGGCGGTTCAGTCTGTTTTCAGACTCATTAGCTATGTAGACTGATTACAGTTTCAGATCAGGAACTGCTCGCTTGCTGTGTTAGCAGAAGGTTCCTTTTTATTCATACACCTACCCTACTGCTAAATATGAAATGGATGGCTTTAACTCTTTGTGGGACTCAAAACTGCAAATGAAAGAGGGAAAGAAGTTAAGTTCCTTCCTCAAGAAGTAACAACTTACTGGGCCCAGTCTTGGGAACAAGAATCAACACAAGAGGCCTCCCCTCTGTAGTGCTATTAGGTAATTTTATATTATGGACTTAAAGGTCTTAAAGGGGGGTGTCTTCTTTAGAGTATTAGTATATATTAATTCAATGACTTCAACATGTGTTTAAGCCTACCCTGCTACATTCACCATCTCCATCACTTCATTCTGCTGAGCAGAGTCTCAGACATCTGTCCCAAGATCATGCCCTGACAAGCTGCATTACCTGGCTGAGTACACATCATGCATTTAAAGCACCCCCCCCCCCCAAAAAAAAGAATACTGGGGACTGTAGTTTTTAAGGTTGCTAGGAAGTTTAGCTCCCAGGATTCTCTGGGGGACAAAATGTGCTTTAGGTGTATTTTTAATGTATGGCTAGTGGAAGCCAACAGATTTCTTAAAGCTTGGATGCACCAAGACATCTTTCTTTTGGGTAACAGGGTGCATTCACAGAATGGTTTCATAGCATCTCATCTTTCAACTGGACAGCCAGAGATGGAACTTAAAGAGGGCAGGATGAGTTGCTTTTGGTGGCAAAGTTCAGGAGTGTAGATAGAGTGATAAGCTCAGTTTCTGCAGAGTGAAGTCTTTAGCAGGGGTGAAATTGAACTGCCTTAGGATTTCTTGTTAGTTTCACCTTGCACTTAGAATCATAGAACTGTAGAGTGGAAGGGACCATGTGGGTCATCTAGTCCAGCCCCTGAAATGCAGGAAGCGCCCCATATGGTCCCCCATCCAATTTGAAACCATCCTGGATCCCGCTTAGCTTTGCAAAGGTGCTAGCAGTTTTATTGCTGAATCATACACCCGTAACAACTCTTCTGGTTCCTTTGCAAAATTGAAAAAATGCTTTGGAAAAAAATAAATATTTGAGAACTGGCTCTCAGTCTCACAGGCACTTAAATGTTCAAATTCTGGAGTATTTCAGTCTCATCTAAAAATGGGGGATGCTGCCTGTGTGGCAGGAAATTGCATTTTTCAAGGATTAAATGTTCTTTGGCAAAGAACCTCACCAAACTCCAAGGCTTGTTCATTATTCTTGTCCTCTGCTAAGATGTAAACCCCCTTTCTCTTAATAGCACACAGAATAACTGGGGTTTTTTTATTTCTTTGCAGGCCCCAAATCAATTCTACATATGGGACATAAAGAGATCTTAAAGAACCTGGAGACACGATGCCAAATTACATGATATACATGCCTACATCAATGTGTAGCTTTAATTTTGAAGGAAGAGGATGCTTAACCCTTTATGGTATCTGCTTTATCCACTCCCCCTCAAAATCACAAAATACACTCTGTACTTCCTCCCTGCTCCAAAGGGTTCCCGATTTGTGTTTATCCCCATTTAAAAAGGAAAGATGGAGCTTTGATACACAAATCTATGTGGAATGTGTAGCTTGCCCCCTCCAATAATCACTGTTTAGATGATGGTGGTGCTATGTAGTTGTTGGCAAAAACAAGAACATAAAAGAAAACATGAGATTTTAAACAAAACCCGCGTTGTCTTTCTGTTAATTAGCTGCTTTTCACTCAATACCTGCACTTTCAAAGACTGGTTCATATTTTTCCAGTTGCCAAGAGAGCTAGCAGAAAAAAGCACCAAGGGTGAGCATCAAGGCAATTTTTTTTATTATTTTCTTTTTTTTAATAAAAAAAATCAAAAAGCAGGAAAAAAAACCATATATTAAAACTGAAAACACCTTCCAGGTCTCAGACAGAAAGGCCACATGCTCAACCTTCATTTTCCTTTCCAGGTGGCCTTTAAGCAGAGGGGAAATCAGCAGCACACTCCCATCTGGGATGCCATTTCCTGCAGTTGCACAGAGACACAATTATAGCTGCAATCTCTATCTAACTCCTGTGACCTTGGATTCATTAACTCCAGTGAAAGACACATTCCAACATTATATTATTTCATGTGACAAGGTGTGGGGTGGGGCGGGGGAGGTAAGCAAATTAGAGAAAGTCTTTCAAATGCCTGTGATATTTAATAAACCTTGATGTGCAAACAAAGGAGATTACAAGCCTGTTTACTAGTGCGCCCTTAACCCAAATGGATTACAATATGTTTCTACATTCATAATTATTTTAATCTCTCTCTCTCTTTCCTCACCATCATCACCCTCCAATGAGTGTTTAGTTTTTGCTTAAAAAAACAACAACACAGGATCTCCCCAATGGCGCCTGAACTGTATGAAGCATTGTTATACCTCTTTGGACAGTTGTGGCTTTCTGCACAGACTACTGGGAACTGTGGTTTGTAAAGGATGCTGGGTGTAGTTTGGAGACCCCTATTCACCTCAGTGAGCTACCGTTCCCAGACTTCACTGGGAATAAGGATTGACTGTTAAAACACTGTTAAATCCCCAGGCCACTGGACCATATCCCTGGGCTTTGCCTAAGTATCAGATTTTTATTTTTTCCCTAACAGTTTGTAGCCCTGTGGTTTCATAAGTCCCCATGCCACAAACCTCAGGCTTAGTAACTTAGTTTGCAACTCTATCTACTTCTAGGAGAAAAGTTAGACACAGCGAAACATGTAGCAAGCTCATTCAAATTCACACACACACACACCACATTAAAACACACATTTCCCAACCAAATTGAGTTTCTAGTCTCCAAGGCAGAACATGAAAAAGGCAGCAGAAGAAATAAAATAATCCCTCTCCCCCTCTCCACTGGGCTGAAATGAAGTAGCTAAACTTTGGGAACCGACAGGTTTGCAAGAGGGCAGAGGCATGTGTTGTCTTCTGTCTATTTTTTTAAAAGCACTCAGTGTGAGCAAAACCAAAGGAGAAATAACTCCATGAATTGCAAAAGAGGGTATCCAGCCTCAAAGATGCTAATTCGGGCCCTGAGGGATCTAATCAACCTCTTTGTTAAAGTAAAGATAAAACTTTCTGACAGCAAATGCTATTCTGATAAAATGGAATTTTCAATTATGCTATGAGCATCTGGTCCATGCCATCGTTTATGGAGCAAGGCGCCGTGCAGCTTTGCAATGTCAGAAGCTATTCCGCACAGACAGCTTCTCCCACTGCTGAGAGAGGTTGGGAACGAGACCTATACTGACCAGTATGCTTTGTGCAAAGTAAATTCTGTGCCTTTTCATTTGTGAGGCCTTATAAGATTTGTGCTTAAACCAGTTTGTAATGTAAACATAACACTGTCGCTGTAGTTGGAAAGAAAACAACTGATCCAGGAGTGAGGAACCTGCAGTCCTGCAGATGCTCCTGAACTACAACTCCCATCATGCTTGATCATTGGTCTGTGCTGGCTGAGGCTGATGGGAGCTGTCAACACATCTCAGGCTACTTCTAGGTTTTAGAACATGCTGGAGCAAGAGCCAATCAATGGGCCATCTAACCTACTCATGTCTAGAAAAGCTGCATATAAATCATGCTGAACAATGACCCATATCCCAGTTCAAATCCCTGCTCAATTACAGGGCTTACTGGGTGACCTTGAGCCGGAACCCGCTCTTAACCTAACATACTTCAAAGGTGTGGAGGGGAACCCTATGTTTATGTCATAACATTTATATACTGCTTGACTGTAGAAAAAAACTCCAAGTGGTTTACAAATACACCCCCCCAAGCTCCTTGTACAAAGGGTAGGGCGACAATGATAGTGACCATCACTTAAGAAGTCCAAAGTATTTTTTGGCATAAACATGATGCCCTGCTAACCTGTGTCGACCTAGGGCCAGACCACACACACATGGGAGGGGAGGAGACAGAACTATCCATGTCATGCTGGCATTCCTAGTATGGCAAGCTACAGTAAAATTTGATAAATAATTCACTTCGGTTTTAAAAACAAAGGAACAGATTTCTAGCCCTTATGTACAACGATAAGCTTGAATGAATGTCATGGGTGTCCTCTGGAGGGTGGAGACAAGGGGAACACACACACCCTCCTCAGAATCGTAAATGTATTTATTTATTCTGAAGTACACAGACACATGCACATCTAGCTAGCCAACAAGAGACTTAGCATGATCTCTTAGACCATAGGTTTTCAACCTTTTTGAGTCCACAGCTCCCTTGACCAACTACATTCTTTCTGCGGCATTCCTGTGGGGCACAGGAGGCCAGTAGGGTGCAGGAGCCCCTATCTGCAGAGCTGGCAGACTCCCGCCCTTTTTGAAACATCCTCCCTTGTGTAGTGTTCCCTCATCCTCTTCTTCTCTCCCCTCTCCTTGGGAGTCCTCCAAGCAGCCACTGCTGCAACCCCTGTTCTCTGAGCTGCCCCAAAGAGAGGTACCTCCTCACACTGCCCCACAGGGGCCTGGGACTTGTCTGTCCATTCCCAACAGCAAGGGCTGGTGGACAGGCTAGCTGGGCTCCCTCACCCACTTGCTTACTCTGAGGCCACCTCAGTTCCTGGCAACCAGCACCCTTCGCCTCTGAAGCTTGTAGCCAGGTATGTTGCAACAAAGTCTTTGGGAGGCAGGCAAGAGGGCATCAGAGGAGGGAGCGAAGGAAAGAGGGACAGAGGCCAGTGTTGCCCGTGGCACCCCTGACCACCATTCAAGCCACCCCAGGGTGGCATGGCACACTGGTTGAAAACCACTTTCTTAGACAATTCCTATTCAGCTGCTGAAATTACATCTACAGATAATCAAGCCCATGCAGATTCCATTCAGGATGTTTACAAATTTAAAAACTTTAGGGGTGAATATGTTATTTGGTGTGAGTTGTGGGCAAAAGGATATGCCAAATTATATATATATACACCCATCATTAAACCTCACTGAACTATTGGACCACACCAAATTGTTTCCTGCTATTAAAATGGTGTTTTTTTACCGCAGTTTCCCTCCCAGTTACAACATGTACAACTGAACAATCCTTTTAACACTTTGAACAGGGTGAAGACATGACTACGTTCAACAATGTGTGGTTGTTTGCCTTGTGTTTGCTGAGTGTCAATAAAGCTGAAGAGCTATCTCAAGGAGAAATTTGTAAAAGTTATTGACCGTTTGGGCCAAGACCCTTGAGGATGCCTGTTTTCGTTTAAGGAATGACCCACTTTGTATTCAATTTTCCTTTGTGTTATGGGCAGAGAAGCTTTAACAAAGAAGTCTGTCTGGTTTCAGGCCTTATGCCTGGCACAATTCTTTGTAAAAAGCATGAAATTCAGCCTTAGGGGTTTTTAATATGGTTTAGAGACCTCCATTACAGTTGTTCAATGGGCAAATTGATTCTATATGTCTTTCTACTAGTGCCTTACTCTTTTGTTGTTAAATTGGTTGCTTCTTTTTAGCACCATGCAATGGTGTGTGGGGTACAGTCATATAAAGGCTACAAATAGCCAACAACCTGTAGTTGCAAGTCATGGGCCTCCCCCGCCCGCCCACCCAAAAACAAGTATTTGAGTGGACACTGAAGCTTGCCAAGATCCCAGAGACCACAGAGAGAGGAGCTGACTTTCAGTACTCAAATGGCATCGCTACAGCCCACCAAATAGATGTTTACCTATCCTTAATGTGTGTGGAGGATGGTGTGCCTTACTTACACACTTACACACACACACACACACACACACACACACACAGACACCAGTGAACCTCCCTTGGTCCCACCCTAGCTAGTTTTATCCATGCCTCCAGAAGGCAGAGAGACATTGGCATTCAGTCTTTTCCTTCTCCCTAAACTTGCTTTGTTAGCATCAAATATGCGAACCCCATCAACAAGTTGCACCCATTTCCTGTACCATTTTCCATCTCCCTAGTTATGCTCCCGTCCAGGGGGCATGGAGATCAGTCCCTATGAGGGAGTAGTGTTGAAAGAGGTAGGAAGGAGTATTTTAGCACACCATCAGGGGCATCATCCTCTGCCCTTCTGGGTTAGCTGCTGGAAAGCACCCAGCTGTGTATCACTACCACAGCTGGACTGGCAATTGCCATTCCTTGAATAGGAATGAATCTTCTACCTTCTACAAACCCCCCCCCCCCCCAATTCCCATTCCCTCTGACTTCAGTACTGTAGGGGTACTCGCCAACTCTTTCCCCATATGACTAGCACAGCAGACTAAATTATGCAAAACAAAATATATACAAAGGTGCATAGGAAGCTGCCTTATACAAAGTCAGACTACTGGTCCCTCTAGCTCAGTACTGTCTACTCTGAATAACAATAGCTCTCCTGGGTTTCGGACAGGGGTCATTCCCAGCTGCTACCCTACCAGGAAATGCCAGGGATTTAACCTTTGCATTTAAAGCAGTTGCTTATGTCAGTGAGCTATGGCCATTTCCCCATATGAATTTTCTTAGCACAGAATCCAGGTAACCTTAGCATAGAAATTTGGGTTGTTTGCTTTTTACAAAAAGCACAGAGTATGCATAGCTGGAAAGAGCTTTAAATCCTACATTACACATTTTAAAGAGCAAATTCCTAGCAGACTTAGAAAGGCACTGGGTTTCTCTGGAGCCTTGTTTTCTCCCAAACAAACCAGCTACGTGAAAGTTCAGCTGACAAAAAGAACCAGTAAATAAATATGTTGAGTGCATTCCAAGCGATAGCTCTGCACCCTCAGAAATAAACAGATTATTAACTTGTAGGCAGGTACACCAAAGGAACAGCACATTAGTGCAGGTTCCGGTGGGTTCCATTTGGTATCAATTAGCAGGGGAAGGAAAACAATTCAGTGCAGTAATGAACTCCAAATTGGGTGCATATTAGAGCAATTAAAAGCAATCTTTCCAACTGATGAAATCATTCTAATCAATCATTAAGACCATCAAAAAGTTTAAAAGGACTGGGCACAATTCCGACTGCTAAAATAAGATGAGCGGCAGAAGTCAGGAGGATGCTTCTGAGCCCCTCCCTTCCCCACTCCAACCCTCCCCCCACCCCTTTGTAATGCCACACTGACAGACTTTGCCTCGGAAGAGACTCCACTGAGGAGGGGAAGCCTCAATAATTCAATAGGAGAAAAGGGAAGAGCCATAGACTTCCTGTAAAGGCAGACTCAAGTGCTTGGGGTCAGGGCCGAGAGTTGCTCCATTAAGGCACAGACAATGGCACATTAATTCCAGTCACAAAATTTACTGCAATGGGAAAATGCTTGACTGGACCTGTCATTTTGAGTGGGAGATTCTAAACCCTACCTTGAAAGCTGATCATCGGACTCCCCCTCCCCTTCTCATCCTTTTGATACTATTGGTTAATCCTAAATAAGGGCACTACCAATGAAGCTGTCCAACTGCATATCTGAGACAGCTGGGGGATCGATCCCCTGCAGATTGTGGTCGCAATGTAAACTGATATCATGTTAAAGGCCATGGATTTGGAATTGGGAAGGAGGGAATTGCACTCAAAACCAGCCAGGGGTGTCCTTGCTGACTCGGAAGCATCTCCTGAACTCTAGCCCAGAAGCCACCATTGTAGCAAGGTCTTTCCTACACCACAGCCAATGACTATTCAAGGAAGGAAGGCTCCTTTAACTGAAGAGGCTGCTGTCCAAGTGGATAAGCCCTGTGTATGGAGCTTTCCAGGGTGTTGCCTGCTTTGCCTTGACTTTGCCTTATTGGTCAGCTTGCCTTGCCTTATCAAAACCAGAACCTTGCCTTAATTGCTATTGCCTTATTGGCGCTTTGGATTTGCTTGACACTGTGCTGCTTCTCTTTAAAAAAAAATACCTAAAATCATGCTACTTTTGCTACAAACCCATTTAGTTGAGTCCATTGCCTGGAGAAGAACATGTACATGACTACTTTTTCTCTTTTTCATGGACATGATTACTTTCATTCACACTGAACCATGGATGTTGAAGTCTTACATTTGTGTCTATGACTCTTAAGACCAGCTACTCTAAATGCAGAAAAACTGTAAGTAGAACTGCAGTGGGAGAGCGGATTCTAGCAAGTGTGCCTCCATTGCAGAAATGACCAACTTCAATATAATCTTGTGGGACAATGACTGTCCAGACAGTATGTCCAGGAGCTTCAAATGATCAGCTCTGTAATAAAATTGGCACCATTTAATAGTATGGACTTAACCTTTATGGAGCATGTGCACTCAAGCATATAATTGTGTTGCATCCACAGACATTAATTATATTACATATAAAGAGAGCTCTAGCATTGAAGTGCTGGAAGCACTCTCTCTCTCTCTGTCTTACAGCTTGAAAACATGTTTACTATAGCAGTAAGAAGCCTGATAACATTGTTCAGGAGGCGCATACAAACCAAAGACTGACAATTGGGCACACCTGGGCTGGGGGGCGGGTTGCCAATTCCCTGCCACCAGCACCAGATTCCAATCCAATTTCTCTTTAACCCTTTTTGAGGTGCCATCATTTTATGCCACTTCACGCCCCTCCATCCCTGAGATTAATAACTTTCCAGCTCCAAGCAGTCATGTTATTCCCCACACTGGCCCACCTGACTCCACAGTCAACTTGCATCATACACACATTTAAGCTTATGCAAATTCAACTATACGTGCTCAGCTGCAGCACCTGTTTTGTAGACAGAAATCACTCTCGGCGCTTAAAATATTAACAAGACAGCCTCTTTTTCAAATTCACTCTCCTCCAGTTCGCAGATGACAGGATTTAAACCCAACACTGCATTATGACATTGCCCCATAAACGCTCAACCCCAATAAACCAGCCACCAACATCCTTCAAAATGCAACCTTTTACCAACACAAACAATGAATAATGTAATGCAGCTTAGCAAAACGAAACAGGAGTAGTGAGGAATAAGGAATGCTGAAGCTTTAAAAAAGGAAGAAGTTAAGAACCCACCATCAACTTTTAGAATCCATTCCAGTCTTTTTCTTCTTTCTACCTCCCTCTTCCTCACTTCTGCTAGTCACTCGCATGTGGAGGAGTGAGGGGAGGCAGCAGAGACACAGGGAAGGCCCTCCCCACAGGACATCCCACTGCCTTGTCTGCCAGCACTGGGACCAAGGGAGGTGCTGCAAATGATGTAATTTTGAAAATCTGGTAAGATACTTTTGGCTATATGTAATTTCTGCCTTACCTGCTGGCCTTGGAACTTAACCTCCACTGAAGATGTGACTCTACTGTATTGTGAACACACCTGTGCTTGGCAATAAAAAAGTACTTTATGCAGATCTTCTGGATTCAGAGTCATGAGAGCAGCAGTTAGATGAAAGGAGGTGAGGGCAATGGGGATCGCCACCCAGGTTCCCGTTAGAAAGCTGTAAGAGTCTGCAGAAGCACAGCGTATTTGCATATCTCATTCACACCAAAATGTAATTTACATAATATTTGCACGGAATACATTAAAGTGTTTTGCACCTCCTCTATGCAATATTAGCTGAGAGACAGCAGCAGTAGCAGTTCTTATGGGAAAGCTTTTGAGACCCGTCAGCAGCTTCAATTTACAGGTGCTTTCGCTTCATGATGAAATATTTGTTCACAAGCACAAAAAGGCACAGCACGGAGGGAATTAGTTCTGGAAGCAACTCATGGCATGTTGGAGGAAAGTCCAAAGCCCTTCTGGATTGGTGGAATTAATGTGCACAGTTCTCTCTGGGTTCTTTGTCCTGCAACGTTCCAGATGGCCATACAATCAAACCTGCTTCCCCAAGCCTGGTGTCCTCCAGATGCAATGGATTACAACTCCCTTGAGCCCTAGGCATCAGGGACAATGGTCAGGGATGATGGGAAATGTAATCCAAAACACCTGGAGGTTGGAGGAGACTGCCACAAACGATGCTTCCATTGACGTAAATGCAATGCATTTCCAATGTCCAGGGAGGTAGCAACAGACTCAAGAGAACTGAAAGGCTTTCAGAATTACAAAACAGCTTTAGAGTGGAGGGGGAAATATGAGCAACGGAACCTCAAAAACAGCCCAATGAGACCTGAGCATGCTCAATCGCCATGAAATGCTGATTGATTGGGAGAGAGTGAAAATCAGGTGAGAGGTTCGGTGTAATGGAGTACTGTGAAGAAGGTAATGGCTGGTGGTGAACTGCAACCTTTTATTGCAGGTCTCACTTGTAAAAGTAGTATGCACAAAAAAGGACAACTTGCTCCATGCTCATGAAGAAACTCTTAAAAATACAAAACAGGTTTCCCCAGATATGCAACTCCAGTTTCTAACCCAGTAGCTCTACAATAATCTCACAAGTGCTTCATTTTTTAAAAAAAACTACTACCAAAGTATCAGTGGAAGAAACCAATCATGAAACACCAGGTGTGGGGTTGGGAGACGGAGGTGAGGAGGAGGAGGAGGAGATGCAACAAGAGTGTTTCTGAGCATGGAAAATAAATACCTTCCTACCAGTCAATAGCTACAGTCAGCTCATATATCTCGGTCAGAAGCGGGTCATCGGCAGTCATATTTGTGACCCTTTTTGAAAACTCATTAAAGGCCCATCCAAATCCTTCATAGTTTTAATGTTAATTTCTCTGTTGCCTTCTGCAAACTCCCTAGATAGTTTACAAATTCCTTGCTGTTCAACACAATTTGCAACAGCAAAGGAAGTTTGCAAAAAGTAACAGAAGCAAGACGCAGCCGTCTCCACTCCCCTTGAGGTGAGTTTAAACCTAGAGGAAAAGCCCAAGAGGCAAGAATGACAATACCAAGGAGGTGAGCCCACTCAGGGAGAAGTTTCCCCTCTGAGCGCACCTTACTCAAAATGAGGAACCAGCTTGGGTCTCGAGGTCTGATGGCACTGACCCAATCTCCCTGCTCCCTCCCCCTCCCACCAACTTTTCTTTTTTTAAAAGACTTTTCCTTCCTTTCTTAGAGGAGAATAATAAATGCTAAGTTATTTCAGAAACAGTCTAGGTCTGGAAAGAATTTAAACTTCCATAGCACAAATCTATAAATGTTTAATTTTCTCATCTCTGCCCATAAGAAGGCTGTCCAGAAAATACATTATTACAGGAGATCTTGCAGCTTGCCCATTAAGCATGGCTGGTGGTGGTAAATTGGAAAGTAATGGCCATGGACTCCCATTTAGAAAGTTTTACAGGGTCAACTGAAGTCATGTCACCAAAATACCCCAGGAATTGAGGTTTCAGGCACCTTTCCTCTCCTTCAGGCAAGGAGCATTCTGCTGTTTGGACGGTGTGGGAAAGAAGCCCTTTGATTCCCTAGGTCACAGCCAGCTTTTCCTCCTTGGTGGGGCTGTCATTTTTCCCAGGGCGGGTACTGAAGAAATTATCAGGAGAGGAGGGTTCTCCTAAGAGACAATGGAAACTTAAGAACAGTCGTGGTGGATCTAACCTAATCCAGCTGCCATTTAGCTACCATGCTATACCCACAGCCATAAGGGTTGTTCAGAGAAATATCCTCCTGTGTTCAATGATCAGTATTTATCTATTATTATTATTATTATTATTATTATTATTAAACTTTATATACTTTATATATACTTTCAACTGAAGACATCAGGGTGGTTCACAAGCTAAGAATACAGAATAAATTCACATAAAAAATAATTATTATCAGCCAAAGGCCTGGTTGAAGAGGAACATTTTTGCCTTGCACCTAAAGATGTATAATGAAGGCACCAGTGAAAATTCCCCGGGGTGAGCATTCAACAAACATGGAGCTGTCACAGAAAAAGGCCCATTCTCATGTTGCCACCTTCCTGACCACTTGTGGAGGAGGCACACGAAGAAGGGCTTCAGAGGATGACTGCAGAGTCTGGGGAGAGGCAGTCCTTTAGGTGGGCTGAGACTCACAAGCCACACACCAATGTATTACCTGGTCACATCTTCCCAGAGGTCATGCATTCCACAGCCAAATGAAAGGGAGCCTAAGGTTAAAAACCTATTTGTGCTTCCCTGGGAGTAAGCATGAGTGAACACTACTGGAACATTCTTCCAAGCAGACCAGTGGAGGCTGCTCTATAAGGACAAATGAGGGCACTGCTCCACCAACCTCACTCTGCTCTCAGGTAGCTCCCATTCATCTGCCTTCTTACTTACAACCCAGTCTAAGGACAGCACTGCCTGTCAGCTTCCTTCTCTTTAAGCTTAGTGTGGATGGTGGAGGATGGGAATAAAGCTATAACCAGTACTATTTTTCTAGAAAAAGAGGCACTAGAACTTACAATGAACACCTCCCTTGTTCTCTCATAATGGCAGTGGCAATGGCACCCAGCTGAGAGGTGCTGGAATTGAGTTCCGGGCAGTTGAAAAAAAGCCCTGGCTATAATTAATTGGCTTGGCCTGTCATTAGCTCTGTCTTTACCTACTGCTAGGATCCCTGCCTGCTGCCCTAGCAGCCCCAATGGGCACCAGCCACGATTGAAGTAGACATGCCTTGTATCATGCTGAAAGGAAGGGGCAGGGCCCTGGTAATTACAAATATTGGCTTGACAATCCTGCAAGACACTTAATGTTTGCAGGCCCTGGATAATTCCTCCTCCTCCACCCCCCATCTTCTTGCTTCAGATTGAATTATTCCTCGAGGGCACATATAACTCTGGTTATTATATGGTATAAACAATAACTACAACAAATCTCTTAAAATGCATCACTTCCTTTGTAATTTAATCTTGAGTTGATCTAAGAGTAGGCCTTTGAGCCTTGCAGTTAATCTTATCCCCCAACCCCATGAGAAACTCAAAATGGTTCTGCGAGCTTAATCTTGTTGACTGAAAGCTCTTCATTATAGTTTCAAGTAAAGACAGGAAATCACAAAAGAAGTGGCACTCCCACAGACAGGAAAGGCAAACTCATTGGTGATGGGGGGAGTCCTCTTTTTAAAGAAATCTTTCTTGGAGGGAGTTAGCTGATCTGAGGTAGATCTTTAACTCGTACATGCACTCACATATCTGCTTCCCTCCATTTTATACAAGAGGTGTTGTTTTTTAATGCTTAGGTTTTGTTTTGTTTATGGGTTTTCTTTAAAAAAAAAAGAAAGATGACCAACTTCCAATTTCTGGGGAGAACTTCATCTTTTTGTAGATTCCTATTGTAGATGCTTTTCTAATAAAATGGTGAAAGCCTATTTTATAACAATCCCTGTTTTGTAAAACCAGTGGTTTCCTCCAGTCTTCTAAATGTTCAGTTTCCGTGGAGTTAATTCTTACACGGAAATACTGAAGCTTTGAAACAGAAGGGAATTGCATGTCCCTCACCCCTACTGTCAAAATGTATGTGCTCCACCGCACAAATTACGTGGGGTTGGAATGTGTGTGCCTTGTGCCTGGGTTACAAATTGTCTGCAGATCAGAACTGTTAAGGCATGTCTGGATGAGATGGAAAACAGGATCTTAGTACCTATGAAGTTCAAGCTATGCAGATTGCTAGAAAAAGAAAAATATGGAGATGGCATATTTTTTTCACTTCTCATTCAAAACCTGAGTCGTAGAATCCATTTCATAACTGGGATCTGCAACAAAAAGTTGCAGTGGCTAATGATCCCAATTTAGCAAGCCACACCTTCTTTCAGGACACTATTCAATTCTCTCCTCTACCCCCACTTCACAAGACATCCAATATTCTGTGGTCATTGAACATCGCTCACTCCTCAATGGGGTGGTTTTCTGTGGGGCACTCCTTAGATTCCTCACACACAAACATTTTTTTGTACTTCTGCAAACCTGCTCTCATGCCAATGCTTCCTTCTTGTTTCTCACTACACCTGTTCTGGCTACATAGCCATCATAATTCAGCAGCTAAGTTTGCTGTTTCTGTATATTGGGGTGGGAAACTCAGGCTTAGGAGCCAAACACGATTGTCCAGGTCACTCCATCCCGGACCCTCCCAGCCCACACTAGCACTTCCAAGGCCACACCCCCTCCCTAGAGGCCACACCCCTTCACTGGCTCTGCTCCACACTTGAGTGCCCTTGGGCTGTGTTAATCTCTTTTGCTTGGATGGATGGAAGATGGAGAGGGGCATGTGCAAAGCACAATGCAGTTCACATATTCCCCTAAAATGCATGTTTATAAATCACTTCCTCATCTTCTCTGAACCTCTTCCAGCAAGATCTAAAGTTGCAACAGCCAAGGGAGGAAACCAGATTCAGAAAAGGTCCTGAGCTGAGCTGTATAACGCCTCTGCAGCAGGCAAAATTGATCACTTGGGACTTCCAGTTACGAGAAGAACATTTTGCAACAGGTCAAACCAACATCATTTGTCAAGCGGCATGAAGAACAGTTTCAAAACATCATGTCAGGATGAGAAACAGATGCTTTACACTTCTAAAGCATCTCTTTTTATGAATGGATGTGCATTTTCAGTCTCTGACAGCGTTCTTGCTCATATAGACACAGTCTGGAAGAACTGGATCCCAGCCATCAATGCCTGAGGGACATCAAAGGAAAGGACAGAGAGGCCCCGAAGGACAAACAGAATACAGGCAAGCAGAGATTCATGCCAGAAACAGTCTGAGTGTCAGGATTCACACTCGGGGCGCACAAAAATAAAGAGGAAAGTGCCCCTGAGCATGCACTGAGTAGATCTCTTTCAGTCCTAGGTAAGAGGTGGAACAGTTTCCAGAGCAGATAGAACATTTTTGAGAAACAAAGGACTCCTGGCAGCTAGGGTGACAATGTATCCTAGTTTGCAGATGACAGTTGTCTCTTTAAGGAATGGTCTAGTCCAAGTTCAGTTTAAAGTTAAGAAGGAGGCAGGGGGGGCCTTGACATTTCCCATTAACAGTCTGCAGGTCTGTTACTGTATTCCCCACTGCAAGGAAATGTGTTGTATTCCTATTTAAATTACAGCAGCTATGTCTAAATTTGCATCCAGGGATATAAATCAGCATATGCGCAAAACATTTGTTCCTCCCCCCCCCCACACCTTTTTTGTGATGTGGTTTTGTTGTTGTTGTTTTGGTCATGCTTCTCCCAGCATGACTCCTCCTGGATGCCACCACTGCCATAGTTGTAAAAATGTAGTGAGCTTTTTAAAAGACATCACATAAATGTGTGTTAGGTAAACGCAAATATCTCCTGGAACAGCAAGTTCGTGTGGCATAGACAACTGTCCGACAATTTTAGTTCATCACATTATTCTTAAGCTACAGGGTCAAATCACAAACAGGCCAGAATCTGCAGGCAGATGTGGGTTAGCTTAATGATCAATTGTGATATTCAGAAGACATATTTTTCTAACAGTCCTTTCTCCTTTTGGTTTTGGTTTACTCGTTTCCATGTCTTCTGCTTCACACCTCCTGAATGTCACTCTCTTCCCCACTAACCTACCTGCCAACAACCCTTGCTGCCTGCAGGTCTGTCATGAGCCTTTTCCACAGGCCTTTCCCTTCCTTCCTTAGAACAGCATTGTTTTCATTAATGGTCACTTGCAGGCACCTTCTCCTTGAGCAGTCAGAATGTTCACAAACATTCCATAGCAGCACCATCAATGGGCTCAGGGCAAAGGAGAGGCAAAACAGCTCACAAGCAACAGCAGGCTATCTGTATGGGTCCTGTGTGCTCTAAAAAAACAAACTAATCACAAGTAGCATTTGTAAAATAACTGACACAACAAACCTTGTTCAGGAACCTGAGACCCCATGGAGGTGACGCTGGTATTCAAAACATCGTTGACAGCTGTGTCACAGTACAGCCCGCGCTGGACATCATGCTCACTGTCTGTCTGGTCACTCTCCTCATGCCCGCTGTCCTTCAGGCTGTTCCCCTCCAGATCTTTGAATGTCGAACTGCTGGGTGGAAGAAAGAAGAGTGATTTACTCTGCAGAGCTGTGTCTGAAAACACAAAGCACCCCCACGGCTCAGAGGGTGTCAAAAGCCTCAGGCAGGATTTGCAGCATTCCCACCATCCCGTAGGGAGCAAGGTAAGCTTTCTCCACCAGGGTGTCACAAGGGGGCTATTTCCAGTACAAGAGAGCAGCCACTCCAACTCATTGATCTTGGCGCTTGGCATTCAACAAGGCAGTCAGAACTGGAGGCAGCCCCCAAGGTGTGCAGAAAATTAGAGAAGATTCTTGCTCTTATCCTCCTGCGAGCCTAAGCTGCGTTGTAGCTTGCAGAACAAAGTGAGGACAAGGAGGGAAGCTTGAGCAGATCACAGCCAGAGCTCCACTAGAGGCAATATTGGGGTGGGAGGGAAGGCACAGGAGCACCTTCTCTGTAAGAGCAGAGTAATCGGAAGAGACAAAGTACAACAACAATCCAACCTATTCAGCTCAGCACAAGATGTACATCTCTGAACTCCTGCAATGGCACAGAAATAGAGGTCTCCTGTGATTGCTAGTGAAGTGCAGCTGAACATTACGAGGTATGCTTAAGTAGAACTCCCGGGCTAGGTTACTAAATGCACAGGAAACACCTAACAGGACACGGCAGCTGAGCAAGGAACCCACGGAACAGATGCAATATTTAAATGTTCACATCCTTGTAAGACTATCTTTCGCAACAGGCAATTTGCAAGGAACATGGTGTTGCATGCACCTGCCATGGGCTTTGTGCTTGTGGCCTGAGAAATGCGAGTCAGGAATTCATCCAAAGGGCTGAGAAAGAAGAAACCAGCCCAAAACTCCTGTGTCAGGCATGCAGAGCTGCTGCAAGAAGACTGGTTTCAGACCTGCTTTGCCTTATTCCCCCCCCCCCTTCCTTTGCCACACTCTCCATTGCGGGGGATCCCATGTCTGATGGCATAAGAGGCCCAGTCTACCGATCAACTGAGATTTTCCTGCTCTTCCCACCCTCTCCCATCACCATGGCATCCAGCACTGTCACCTTTGATGGCTGCCAGAGCTTCAGTCCCTGGTGCCATAAGAATATAAGGAAAGCCCAAAGACAGTGATAGAGCATCTGGTTTGCATGCTAGAAGGTCCCAGGTCCAAATGCTGGAATCTCCCAAGTAGGGCTGAGAAAGGCCCCTGTCTGAAACCCCTTGGATTGCTGCAGCCAGTCAATGTACGCATTGCCGAGCTCAATGGACCAATGCAATAATAATAAAACATCTGAAGGGCATCTGGTTGGGAAAGGCTGTTCTATAAGGACACTGCTTCAGGGGAACCACGGTCTTGCTGAATCAACTCATAGTTCCATAAGTCTGGAGAGAGAGTCAGGAAATAAACTACTACAATTCACTGCTTTGAAGCTGGCAAAGCCAAAGTTTAACCCTCACAACTCCAACAGCACTGGGGCTTGCACTGCTCCCAGTGACTCAAGCTAGGCAAAAGCCCAAGGATCTCCAGCTGAACAACCAGAATGGACAAGAAATGGCTTCTCAACCACAAATACAGCAGACAGGGCACACATAGGCAGTTAGTAAGGAAGGATACTCAATCCTAGCCTTTCCAAGCCCTGCAGTACATATTGCATAGTGCTTCAATCTCTGCTAGTCCCTCCAAATGTTGTTGGGCTCCCAACTCCCACCATCCCCAGCCACCATGGTCAATGGTCAGGACCAGCAACATCTGGAAGAGGAGCAGGTTCCCCACCCTTGATTTAATGTATAAATTTTAAATTATAAGACTTTGCAAGTCTCACCATACTCTCTTTTTAAAGTACTGAGATCAGAAGTTTAAAAGAAGAGTGGGGAGACTTGTAAAGCTGTCAAATTTGGCCTGCAAGGCTGATCCTGATAAAGATCTGGCCTGTGGATACAAAAAGGTTCCTCACCTCTTAGCTTAAAAACCTGTCCCACCACCTTCTGAGGCAGTCTGCTCCATGACTGAACAACTCACACGGTCAATAATTTCTTCTTAAGGTTAAGTCAAAATCCTCTTTCCTGTTTGCTTTATATGTGGAAGCTACCTGAGAAGGACTTCCCCACTCGTCTTATTACAGCCAACATCCAATTTAAACTCAGGAACTTTCCTTTTTTAGTTCTCTAATAGAGATTTCTTTTTTGGGGGGGGGGACTGTGGCCCTTTGAATGTTGTTGGACTCCAACTCCCATCACCTTCAGCCAACATGACCAATGGCCAGAGGTGATCAGAGCTGCAGTTCAACTGGCAGACCACAGAAAGCTGTTGTGGAAGTAGCTAAAACACAGTTTTGCTTTCTGGAGGTTTGGAATAAACCATGAAAATTAGAAGACCCTGCGTTGAAGGCAGCTAGACACTGGAAGCCAGTGAAACAGTTTCTTAGTAGGAACAACAAGACCCTTCCTGCAGGATGACTTAGGAGGAACAGAAGTTTTGAGTCTTGCTATTAAGAGAGATCAGGTATTGGTGAACACAATGGGCTCCTCAGTCAGCGACCAAGCAAGTGTAATGTTCCTGACTGGTTAGCAGATTGCTAAATGTCTAGCTGTCCTCCCCACATGGTCCCAGCTAACCAGTCACCAATCCTATGCTTGCATGATGGTGACTGAAATCCCCCCTGCCTCCAGTGTTGCCTCCTGTCATATTGAAATATGTTTGGACATTCCCTTCCTAACATGATCAAACAGGTTAGCAAAAAACCCAAAACCAGCCAGCAATTCTTCCTGGCAAATTTCTTTGCTGGCCACCAGGACAAGAGGGCCATGGAAATGGCTCACACTTCAAAGCCTTGGGGAATTATGCATGCATCTGTTTGCAAAGACCTTTTCAGGTCTCCATGGAAACCAAGTGGACCACCGACCATGGGATGTTGTGCGGAACCAAGAACAGCATGCAGGAAAGAGGAGAGAGAAAAGCCTGGGCTGAGACACACGAAAACGGGAACACCTTCAAATGCAGCCTTTTAAAATAAAGACATCCCTGCAGAAGCCCTTTAAACCTAGGATTTAGCCAGCATGCACAGGAGGCAGGAGGCGAGGGAGAAATCAATTCAGAAAGACCAAACAGATTAATTAAAAAGTAAGGATTTTGAGATTCACACCACAAAGTTAAGGCAGCAATCACACTTCTCCAAACAGCGACGTTTTGCTGGATTAAAAACACACCGGAGGATTAATAGTTGACATTTCAGCTCTCTGATGAATACATCATGCTCATGACATTCATTAGGGCAAGACTTTCAGCAGCACCCCTTGGATGCAGTTCTTTTTTCTTTTTTCCTCGGCTTTATCCCTTGACTTATCAGGAATTCTCTTTGCAGATCAAGCATATGGAGCCATCTCTATCTAATATTGCATTTATATACCATCTTTACTCTAAGCTGCTCAAGGTGAGCTATACAGCTCTTCCCCTCTCTATATTATCCTCACACTACCCTATGAGTAGGTTGGGCTAAGAGGTGGTGACTGGCCCAAGGCCCATCTGCAATATCATACCACTTTAAATAATCATGGTTTTCCCCAAAGCATCCTGGGACCCACGGATTGTTAAGGGTGCTGAGAGTTGTTAGGGTACTCCCACATTCCCCTCATAGACCTGCAATTCCCAGAGTTGCCTGTGAAGAATTGACTGCTAAACTGTTAAACCACTCTGGGAATTGTAGGTCTGTGAAGGGAACAGGGGTCTGCTTTAGCATACCTTGCTCCAGCAAAGGAACAATCACAGCAGCAGCTTCAAGTGTTCCTTTGAAGGCTCATTGGTAACCTGTCCCGGTTAGACATCACACATGACATCAGGTATGGGGCAGATGGGTATAATTTGCCAGGAATAGCCTGGCGGACCAAACTGGGATAGCTTCTAGGACAGACTTGGTCCACAGGCAGACAACATCAGAGAAACACGTAAGGATCCCTGCTTGCTGGCTGTAGCCATAGAGCTCCCCTGTACTCTGTCCATGGTCCTGATGCCTTTGTCGCAGGTCTTGATTTCTGGCTCCCGAATTTCTGCTTAGTCTCACTTCCAAGGCTATGAAGCAGGGATGGAGGGAGGCAGGGAGAAAGAGCTGCATACACCAAGTTCCATATAATCAAACATCTGGGCAATCTGTACTTTATATATATATATACATTTGCCTTTTTAGCAGAAGCAATGCCCATGATGCAAGATGTCAACCTACAATACCAGACTCTCTCTTTAGTCCCTTTCCCAAAGTGTGGAAAGCTTTTTCTGCAGTTAAATAATTCTTCCACCAAATCACAGTAAACTACCACCAAACTGTCAGTTTAGTTTAATGCTAGGTGCAAAGCAAAAGACATGAATAGATTTCTTCTACGGAAAGGACAAACTCCATATTGGACTGCAATGAACAATACGATGCAGGCCGCAATTTTCTCTACCACAGCAATTAGAAGATTGTGGTTGAATATCATGAGCAATGCAGACAAAAAAATATTCATTTCCTTGTCTGAATGGAAGCTGTCTACATGACATGCTCATAATTGCCATACTCCTTATATCTCTTTTACAAAATGGGAGCTTTGGGGCAAGGGGATAATCAGATCCTCTGAAAGGATGTAACAAAATGCACAGAACCCATTGTGCGATCGTCAAGTCCTCATGGGTGCACTGATTCTAGCAAGCTAATAGAATCATAGAATTGGGAAAGGGACCAAAAGGTTCCTGAGTGGGTTTCCCCTCAACAATTCAATGCTTAAAACGGGAGTTGTAATTAAGGCTGCAGTGTTTAACCAATTGATCAATGGAAACAATCAATTTAAAAACAATTTTGATAGACAAAAAGCAGCTTCCAGTTAATTAGGCAGAATTTTTTTTTGTTACTATATTTAATGCAAGCATATCTATTGATCTATCAATCTATTGGTTGATCTACCTATATAATGCAAGCACGCACACACACACACACACACACACAGAGAGAGAGAGAGAGAGAGAGAGAGAGAGATGCATGCTTTGTGCATGGCTGGCATCAACAACAGGCAATTGCCAGGGCCCCAGCAGCACAGCACAGTTCACTGATGCCTGCCATAGTTTACTTCATTAAAATGAGAATGCCCAGTCCAGTTTTCCAGGCAGCACCAGCCAGCTTGTTGTAGCTACCCTATTAACTTCTCATGGAATGGATCCATAAAGTCCTTTAGGGAGGAACCATAGCACAATGTTAGAGCAACTGCTTTGCATGCAAAAGGTCCCTGGTTCAATCTCCAGGTAGGACGAGGGGTTGGGAGAGACTCTGAAATCCTAGCGAGCTGCTGCTGGCAGCCAGTGTAGACGATACTGAGGTTGATGGACCTATAGTTTGGACTCAAAGCAAGGCAGCTTCCTTTGTTCCAGAGAGCACTTTGTGCAGGAGCTGGCCCTGGTAAAAACAGCAGGTGGCAAGCACCATCTTCAAAAAACAGAGCTCCTTTCCATGTGGGAAGCTACAAGAAATTCCCCTTCTAAGATGATGAGCAGGATCTAACTAACAAGCACTGCTAGTGGAAGCTGGCATAAGGGCACCCACTAGTGCAATGGGTGGCAAAGTCTGCACTGTAGGGCTCATCCGCACCTTTGTTCCACATTTTCTAGGCACAGGTCTGGGCTTTCCAAGCCCAAATCCAAGCAGTAGGTATTTATGCCCCAGCACTTTTCCTGGGAAAACCTGTGTTTTACCACTGAATTGGAGCAAACATAAATTGGGGTTTCTGCAGATTGCCATTTTCTCTGAATCAGCAGTGAAATGGGGTTTTTGCATCTTGCGACTGGCATTCGGAAGCATAACAACTGCAGAGAAATGGGTTCCAAAGTCTTATGGTAATGCTAACCAAAACAACAGCAGGGTTTGGCTGCATATGAATGACACCAATGCACAGAATTATATTTTAAAACTAAAAATGAAGTTAACATAGTGAAATTAGAGCTTGCATGGTACAGCAAGGAAGAGAAAGAAGAAAAAACATGTAACACTGTTATCCTCCTAAACTGCCTTGATGTTCTCTGATCACATGGGTTACTAACATACCTCTGTCGACAGCCACAAGGAATAGATTGGAAGCCTTCCTTCCTGATTTAGATTAACCATAGTTTAGCATGTCATCTGAATCGTAAACTGTGATCAGTATTAACTGTGGTTTGTTTAAACAACCACAAACCATGTTTTGAAGGTGACTTGTTTCAAATAACCATAGATCAGGGGTGGGCAATGTGCTGCCCTCCATATGTTGCTGCATTACAGCTCGCATTATCCCTGACCCCTAATGGGAGCTGGAGTCCACAAATTCTGAAGGACACCATATTAGCTACCCCAAATTTACATTAACAATAGTTCTGATAAAACCGTAGGCAAGCTGTGATTAATCTCAACTGGAAGCAAACCCTTCTAAACTCCTTCTTTTCAGCACACTGGAGAAAGAGTGGGGATCACACAAACCTATGGAAGGAATTCAACATAGTGCTATGACAAAGGTGCTTTTCATCTTGAAGATTCCATATGTTGTTCTGGATTCTTTTTTTCCCAGGGGCTGCAGTGGGCCCACAGGGGAGAAGAACTGAGGGAAACCACTGCTGTAGAGAAAGTCCTTGCATGGCCTTCCACTAACAGGACTAACTAGTTGAACACCCCACCCCCCACCAAAGGGCTTGCTGATGCTTCTTATCAGCACACTAAGCAACCATTTAGCAAAACATCTATGCCAGGCCAATAAGTTCTTGCTGGCAGAAACGGAATCAAAACCAAAACCAACTATTTACCAGTTTGATTCCGGTGCACATGACTTACGCCACAAGCATTGTAACGAGGGTAAAGGTAGGGAGAATTAGAATGCATTTTTGTCCGCTGTGAAGTGCTTCTGAAATGTTAGTAATTATTGTCAACACGTTCACTGGGGACCAAATTCATTCCTGAGTTTATGCTTGGATGAAGCCAGGGCAAGGATAGATTTATTTTAATAAAGAGGGCGAGGGGAGGGGAGTATGGGGGATGGGAATGAACTGCAATACAAATGTGTGTATTTTTATTTGCAATTCAAACTTCAAGCGGGGAAAGAGTGGTTGCGGGGGGGGGGGGGATCCCAAGCTCAGCTGCCTTACCTCCCCCCACCCCCGACAAGTTCCTTTTCTCTCCTGATATGCCAGGGAGCTCTCTTCATCCACATCTATCATTTTATTCTTGTGCATTGAAAGAGAACAAACTCTATGAATTATAAGTTGTCAGGGTAACAGGGTTCTGCCTAACTGTATGCTCACTTTCCTATATGAATGAGGCACAGCTCATTGGAGAAGGGTGTGTGTGTGTGTGTGTGTAAACTAAAGGCCAAAGCAGTGAGAATTTAATGGGATGCAAATGCTGGGGTGTGTGTGTGTGTGTGTGTGTGTGTGTGAGAGAGAGAGAGAGAGAGAGAGAGAGAGAGAGAGAGTTTCAAATGAACAGATTCTGTACACACTAAATGAGCAGAAAATAATGGGGGAAGTAAAGAGTTAGACAATGTGAATTCAGTTTAAAACTAAGTACTTCTCCCCACCCTGCCCCCCCACTGCCACCCCATAGAAAGCAAACAAACACCCTACATACCTTTTTATTAAATGAGCTCTGCTGTTCACATAGTTGGAATCAAAAGAGTAGTTTTCAGTCTGAAAGGAGAGGGGGGAGGGGAAATAGAGATGGTTACATGCACAATCCATTGGCAGTTTGAAAGAGCCAGGCAAGCTGGGACAAAAGCCACAAGTTAGGGGTAGGGGGTAGATTAATCTGCCCCACCTCAGTTCCTCACTTCTCCATCCTCGTGATTCAGTTCTCCACATTCCTGCAGCAATTCGTGAATCCTCATGAAAATTCATCAGTATTTTAGTGCAAACTTCTCCTAGCAAACACATTTTTGTATGCAGTATTGCCAGGTGTACACCTTTTTGCAAAGCCATTTCCCCAACAGAATCATATAATTTTAGAGTTGGAAGGGATTGTGAGAGTCACAACACCCACTCCACCCCCCGGAGTACAGGAAACTTTTGCCCAGTGTAGGGCCTGAACCCATGGCCCTTGGGATTAAGAATCTCATACTCTACTGAGTGAGCTATTTCAGCATTTTAAGTGTTATTTTCACTACTACAGGCACACTCTGCCCTAAGAAACACATTTCCCTACACATTACCTGGCTTGATAACCGCACTGTAAAAGTCAGAAAACAGCAAATTTTGAAGGATGGCTGGGTTCCAGTTCACATACTGTTTGGAAAACCTCTTTAAATGTGAACTAAATCAAATTTCTCCCCCATCCCTAAGTTGGTGAATAATGTAGATCTGAGCCACACCATCACCTCTCGCCAGCATGCAGGTGTGCCAGCACCTTCACATGAAACAGCTTACTGCACATAATTGCAAAGCTTTAAAAAAACACCCCACTTGCAGTGGCATGCAAGAAAGCCAACCCGCACAGCAGTCTTGTGAAAGCGAATGCCATATATTTCATCAGAGCACATAATTTAAACGGCTGCCGCACAGTGGGATGCTGGCCACGAGCTTTGAATGTTTAGCCTGGAGATTATTAAAAGGCAATATGATAGCCATCTTCAAATATTTGAAGGGCTGTCACAAAGTTGATGGATGAAATTTATTTTATTTTATTTTTTTGCTCTTCCGCAGCAGCAATTGCCAACTTTTCCGAGGGCTCGAGGGCACATTTGGAATTTGGTAGGAGTGCTATGGGCATCACCCCTTTGGTTGCTTATCTCACACTCAGCTGCTGCAGACAGAGATGAGAAAGCCCGTGCACACACGCACACATACCAACACACACACACACACAGACAAAACACACACACACACATGGATACACACACTTTGCTTTTCCAGGGGCTCTGGGTGAAAGCTGGATCCAGGAGAATTAAAACAGATCCTTTTAAATTTGCACAAGGTGCAAAAAAGACTCACTATCGAATTAAATCTTAACAGTGCAAGACTTCACGACAAAAAAAAAAAAATCACAGATCCAGTGCCTGCCAACCTCACAATAATACTAGTTTGTATCCAACTGAATCATACCCAGAGTAGACACACTGAAATCAATGGACATAGGTTATACGCTTTCAAAATGGTCATAAAGGTTGGAACCTTGATTTTAGTTTTAATTCAACTTAAGAGATTCTCAGGATGCTTATATGCCAAATTGTGCAGAGTGATGACAAGAAAACCTCTGGATGGTAAAAGACAGATACAAGGACCTGCAAAGGTTGGATTACCGAGAGGGCTTGAATTACCCTCCTTTTAGCTGCTGTTTCTAGAAGGCTACTGGGACCATGATCTGGCAAATCTGATACCATGCACAGAGTAGTGACTGCAGTTACTACATACTTGAATTTACATCCTATTTCCGCGCCCCCCCCCGGTAATGCACTTTACTCTGATCCCCAACAGCCCTGCAAGGTACGCCAGGCTGAGAAAGAATAACTGATTCTGTGAGCTTCATGGCTGAGTCATGGGGATTCGAAGACATCTTAACCCAGCATTTTCCAACTGGGTGGCCCTAAAAAGATGTCTTAGGCCTGTGCATCACATCCTGTGGAATCAAACACACAGTTCTTTAAGGCATGGTATTGCTTTCTGTCTGTTCCTTCCTGGCTATACCAACTGTGGCAGTTGTGCTATGCATTAAGTGAAGTTTCTGAGATATATTCTAGGGAGCACCATGTATACTGCGATACAATAATTCAAACAGGAGACAGACCACTGTGACCAGACCAGACCTGTCCAGGAATGGTACGAGTTGGTAGGTTACCAATTTTATTATAAACAACAACATCTCATGTCTCTAAAATAAAAAAATTAAAAAATGCTTTTTTGTCCAACGTCTAAACAATGAGCATGCATATTTTAGATCAGAAACTTATGTACTTGAGTGTCTTTTGGAACGCTGCCTTTACAGAGCAGTCTGCAATGGCACAGACTAATTCAGAGGAGACCTAGAGCGCATAGAATTACCATTGCCTTGAAATAGCCTCACAGAGCATATTTTTAAGTGCTCAGTTTTATTCTGCCAATTGCTGTTGCTTGTTATTAAAACATTTTTTCTAAAATGCTTACATTTCTTTTTTGGAAAACTAGTTTCGTTGTGGGGTGTGTTTTTTTAAAAAAAACACCTCAAAATGTCCGTAAGGCACTTTGGGCACCTTCTAAAACAAAAGTGGGACACAAATAAATAATTATGAGCAATATATCGTGTGTGCGTGTGTGTGTTTTGACACCTCAACCAAATTTTGCAAGATGGTTCCCGAGACCACAGAGCAGGTTTTTGTCTATGTCTGGATATGATTGGATGTCATTTTAAATCAAGATGGCAGACTGAACCTTTCAAACTGCACTGGTTTTAATCACTGATTTCAAAACTGTACTGATTGCTTGGTTTTAGGATTTCTAAGCAACACTGCGTCTACACATATAAGCACTTTTAAAAACAAAACAAAACTGACATTCACAACAGGAGGATTCAGGTTTAAGTGCAGGCACGCTAGTATTCTTGAACCCTTTCCACTCTGGATGATTTTCTACTCATAAAACTTCCCCTCCACCTGTTTTCCCACCCCGGGGGGGGGGGGGCGGGGAGTTATGCAGCAGAGGAACTGAGAGTGGGAAATGACAGGTCCAGGGGTAAATAGTTGCCCCCTTTCCACTATTCCTCGATCAAACTCCCAGCCCCCAAGGCAACTTTTGGAGAGTGGCTTTACACCAATTCTAGGCCCGAGAAGTTGTGGTGATGAGCAGCATTTGAGCCATCACAAGCCACTAGTTATCCTTGTGAAAGTTGCTTGTGAGAGTTACCTGACTAATATGCCACCACATTTAGCAGGCCCAGAGGTGAAGAGCAGATGGCCCATCCTCAGGGCTTCAGGTCAGCAACTGTAAATCACAGGGCCATCAGCTTCCCTCAGATTGTGACCAATGAAACTGGGAGTTCCTACAATACCCAGAATTCTCTGGGAGGAGGGAATGATGGTTAAACAGCTCTGATAAGCGGTCTCCTAACAACTCTCAGCAAGACAACAGTTCCCAGGATTATTTGGGAGAAGCCATGCTTGTTTGAGGTGGCATGATACAGCTTTAAATCATACAGTACAGGTGGGCCCTGAGAATGTGGGGGTTCCACACAATGACCTGTACATGCAGCTTTCCTCTTGCAGTGACATTTAGCATTGTGTATTTCCCCTGCCCCATTCAAAAATCCCATTATTTCCGCTTCTCATGCAACAGGTATGAAGAGGGGAACAAAAGGAAAGAGAAAAGCTTTAGTGTCACAGTCTATTAGGTAATGGAAATTGCTCCCAAGGGAAAGCAACAGCCATTCTGCATCGCTTGGCAAAATAGAGCTGGACAAAGTGCTAAGGAATATTCAGCACCGAACGACATGTGTTGGCTAAGGAGATTTGACAGCTGCTCCGACTCAAAATCTGTAGTTTTATTAGTAATAAGATCTCTTCCATATTTCACAATCCCACCACGCCAGTCTGGTGTAAAGAAAGTCATGTCTCTTTTATCTTATATGGCTGCTGCCTGTCTATGGGCTGCTAGGATGTCAAGGAATGTTCACAAACATTTAAACCGCTCAGGGTGAAGGGACCCATAACATGATGTGACCAAACAGTTCAGCATACAGAAAAAAGAAGCAGAGAAAACACAGGACCCATAGGTGGCAGGAACAGAGAAGCAGAGAGAGTCTGAGAGAAAGGGAGGAAGGCAGGGTAAAAAAACCTGAAGAAAAACTCACAAAGTCTAGAGAGAGGAAACGCTGTGTACCCAAGACAGAGAGAGAATAAGAAATACCTTGGAAGTTCGGGGAGCAGGTTTGGGAGCTGAGCCTAGAGAGAGAGGACTGTTTAGTCATGGGAGAAGCTATATAGAGTATTGATGCCCCAGTTCCTGGTCATCTGTCACTCTGCTCAGATTCCACATACAGAGTAACAAGCACTGATTTCCTGAGATTTCCCCCAGGCAAACTTACAGGCCTAGTTTCTACTTCTCATTTCAAAAAATGAAAGGTGATGCTTCCACCGAATTGTGTCTCACACACCAAGCATGGTGGATTCCAAGCAGTGAAGAGGGTGCCCAATCAAGACTCTCATATGAATGTGTATTGTGTGTCTTCTCTTATCTGGCCTGATTCCCCTTTACACAGCCCAAGGTTATTACAGCACTGGGCTTCACAGAACTCATCCCAATCACCAGCCACTCAGCTGCAGGTGGCATGGTAGGGTGGTGACCCTTACATGGCCTCCCGTTAGTCCCACTGTTGCTGCTTACCAGGAAGTAGGGAGGCCTGGCAGTGTTGAAGTTGGCATGCTGCAAACGCACTGGTAGAGTCAACGAGAGCTCCTGCTGGTACGTTTGCACCACACTGACCTTGCTGCCCCCTCACCTCCCTGCTCTACCTCCTGGTAAGCAGCAGCGGCACAACCAACCAGAAGTCACCACTATTCCACCACACTGCCCACTACTGCAGCCCAAAATCACACCAATCTGCCCAACATTTGATGCCATATGTGACATGAGGTATGGGACGGGCTGGGTTGGGTGCAGTAGGAAGTTCCCCATCTGAAATTCCCTAGTACAGCTGCTTTCAGTGCCTATCAACTGATGTGCATGGAGGGCACACCTTTGAAGGAGCTCCTATTCAAGTGGTGATTAGCTGATGGTCACTGAGATGGACCCCATCTGTCTGTAAATGGGACTCAAGGCAACTCCCATTAGCTGATAGGTGCTGAGAAGGAGCTCCTTTGATGACCCGATGTCATAATGTTACAAAGCTGGCCTGCAACTGAGATGGTGGGGAGGGAGAGGTAGAAGGTAGGAATGCAACCTGCTGGCTGGATGCAGTCCTGCACCCCTGCTTTGCACCCTCAGATGCTCCCCTTTCTCCAAGAGCTCCTTTTTAATCTTTCCCTGTGGCAATTACAAAGAAAGCCTAAAAAAGAAAGAGAAAAAAGAGAGGGAGAGATAAACATATGCAACTTTAATGGTGCAATAAATAAGGGACGAGGGCTGCGTCGCCTGCTAGAACAATCACAGCGGCAGGACGTGCAAGATTGGAACCGCAGAGGGTGTGCCAGTAGAGGCTACGCTTCGGTTCCAAGATAATAAAGCTTAAAGGCGTGCTGGCTAACTGTGACCTTTTTCAAAAATACAAACACAATATCTAATTTAAGAAAAACAGGCGCCTCCCAGGGAGAAACATGTTATCTGGAGAAAGCTGGGGGGGGGGGAGTCAGCCTTACAGACAGCACGGCTCAGTTATTGCGTCCGCTTTGTAATTACTGCTGTACAGTCAAGCTGCAGATTTAGTGCACAAAACACTCAGTCCCTGAGATTCTTTCCTCCTTGTTCCTGCAAAGATGACTTTGAATATCAAAGCGCCCGGGGTCTCAGCAGGAAAAACACATGCACACTTTTTTGTAAAATTACACGGCCTCCAATTTCTGACACGGGGTTGTCGGGAGCGTAGCCAAGCGGGCTGGGATGACGCTTTCGCCACGGCTGTGCCGACATGAGGAAGAGAGCACAGAATGACATGCTTGGCAGCAAACACAGCATTCTGAACTGCATGCCTGCTGCCAATCTGCAAAACCGGAGGAGGGGGGATTTGCCAGGGAAAGCAGCAAGTGGGAGGGGTGCTTAACCCTCCTCCCACCTGCTACTTTTTCCTTTACTGCACTCCCTTCTCAGCTGTCTTCACCCCAAGCAGGGAAGTTCTGAAACAGATCTGCCTGCCTAGGGAGGGAAATGAGGCAAAGGAATATGTTCCAGAGGAAAGGCAGGAGGGGAGAGTGTTAACACATAATTAAATCCATGTTCAGAGTCTACATGAGTACCTCTCTGAGTACTACTTGCTCGGGAACAACAATGTCCTGCTCTGCAGTATGACGAGGCTCAACCAGGGTGTAGGTGCAGTTTGGGTAGGATGCAGGGCTGGGCTCTGGGGAACACAGCATTCTGGAGCTTCACTAGGTGGCACCTAATTGTTAGCACCACCTGTGCTACAAGGTGCTCCTCTCCTTAAGTGGTCCATCCTGCTCTACTGCACCTGAGTGGGGATAGCCTCAGGTTTTCCAGGGTCTTCTACCTTTAAGTCCAAGGATGGCAGTGCCATATCCTCAGGTTCTTGTAGTGGCAGCACCCCTGTGGCTGGCCCTGTGTGACCTTTCCCTTCAGGTCCAGGGTCCTTGCCCACCCCCTTAACCTGATGAACCAGACTCTCACTCCTGGTCCCTGGCAAACAACAGGAAAGATATTTTGACTTCGTGTTCTGCTTTCGGGTTACCCAGAGGTATCCAATTGACCCCTGTGGGAAACAGCATGCCCACTACTTTGGCCCCTGTCCACCACCACCCCTACTTCCCCTGCTGCTTGGTGCATCATCAAAGTAAAACCCACACATACACAATGTACTTCAGATGTCACCTCTTTCCCCTTCTGGGGCAAGAAGTTAAAACTAAAGCACCAAACACTAACTTATGGTTTTCCAGTAAGGCTGTGGCTCAAACTACGCAACCATTATGAAACCAGGAGGAGATGAGAGCTGATCATATGAGGTTTGTACACAATGGCTGGATAATGGATCACACATGTGCCTAGGTCTTGGTTTTTCATGTGCACAACCACATTTTGACCTGCTGACTCAACCACCTGGAGCAGTGGTACAACAAACAACCTGGGGAAAGGAAACGGGATGTTGATTAGCTCCACATATTCATCAGGGAGAAAAAGAATCAAAATGACATGCTCTCAGTCCACGTTTCACTGCTTCAAAATGGCAATGTGCAACCAATTCACACCACCCTATGCATGTTGCTGGTTGCGGGGGTTTGTTTGCCTACCAAAAAAATAAAAATCACTACCTTATTGGAAAATAAATATCACCAGATACATCTTGACCTGCTCTCTAAGGCATTGTTCTTACTGAGGTAATAAAGCAGTGTGTGGGCATAAGCAGCATAAGACTATGTGTAGATGAATGATCCTCTATTTAAAAATAATAATAATATGCACAGAGAAAACCAGCATGTCAAGATGAGCCTTTTTCCCTGACTTTCTATTCATCTATTTGCAAGATGGATCTATTGGCAGGTGGGCTGGGGAGGGGTCCCCTGCACAGAAAAGCAATTAATCATTTGAAAGCATTCTGGGTTCAAAAGGAATGGTGAGCTTCATGCTCCAAGTTCATGTGAATTCACCCCCAGGTTCAGCTCGACCGTTAGGAAGAGTGGGGCAGCTGCCTCAGGTAGCACGTACTGTTTGGCAAGAAGAAGCAGTGAGGTGTTAGATGACACAGCTGACCCCCTTCTGCTAGCTGCTCTGTTGCCAATTTTGAAGTAAGATTCAACTGTCAGTCCAGCTGGCCCCTGTACATGGATAGAGAGGGCATCATCTTCTCCTTTGCCTCAGGCAGCAAAAGGTCTTAGGCTGGCCCCAATCGACCTCAGTTTGCTCCTGCATTTTTCCACGAACGTTTATGAACATGGAAGGCAGTAGAAAAAGGAACCGTTTAAGCGCAAGGCCGACATCTCTGCTTATAAATCCCTGTGGGTCTTTCCCTCCAACCCAGCTGGCTAGCCATGCTTCCTCAGGACACTGAAGAATCCACTGTGGCGTTTTTCATCCACCCAACAGCCCCATTCAGAGGGTTCCTGAAAAGCAGATGGCTTTGTTTTAAAATAAATAAATGAATAAAGGGGAGAAAAGGGCAGACATATAGTCCGTAAACAGGCTGTGAAAAAGGAGGTAAGCTGTGGAGGCGAGGATGAACTGCAGTGAAGGCTTTTATGCCCCTGCTCCTCTTGTGGGATTCTATT